AGGGACTCCCGGGTTCCGGACCCGGCTTCACCCCGTAGTGGCTGTGTGATCTGGGGCAAGTCACTTAACCTCTCTGAGCCTCGGTTTGTTCCAAGATGAAGTGAGACACTAATCAATGTCTCCGTGCCAAGTGAAGTCACACACGGATATTCCTAGGAGGCAGCAAAGGAAAGACCAATGAGGTAACCACATTAAAAAGAATTAAGCACAGGGGCGCTTGGATGGCTCAGTCGGTTGACCTTGGGACTCTGGATTTTGGCTCTGGTCATGATCCCAGGGCTTGGGATCCAGCCCCGCTTTGGGCTCTGCTCAGAGCATGCAGCCTGCTTAAGAGTCTGTCTCTCCCTCTGCCCCTCTGCCCCTCTCCCCCACTCTCTCGCTCTGTCTCTAAAAATAAAATAATTTTTAAACATAGGGAAAAAAGATGTTTTAAAAAAATTAAGCACATCAAAAATGCTACGAAAATATCTGAAGGAAAATTGGAGCACTGTTTATCTAAAAGTAAGTTTTTGTCATGTACAAAGTGCTCTCATGAATTACTAGGATATTTGCAAACAACCGAACAGACAAAACGAATGCATCAGATGGGAACAGATACTCTGCAGAAAAATTAACAGGGCTAAGAAAGCAGTGAAAAGTTGCAGGACCTCCCTCATAGGGAATCCGTCACTAAAACATTAAAACAAGCGTCCATTTTCACACCTATCAGCCGGGCAGATAAAAAGGTCTGTTAATTCCGGGTAGGAGAGCGTATGTTTTAATACACTGCAGGCAGGAGTCTAAATTTATGTAACCTTCTGGGAGGAGAACAGCCTATCAAAATGTGTTTACTTGTGCTTTGACCCAGAAACTCCTGCACAAAGCCAAAGATTGATCATGCAACCCGAAACAAATCTGTTTGTTGGCGGAGTAAAGAAAGTTACAGGGTATTCATTCAGTGGACTATTAGGTAGCCGTTAAAACAGTGAGACGCAGAGGAAAGGGAGCCCGGCTGGGACAGGAAATATTCTCTGGAGCACAGGCAGCAGGCTGGAAACGGTTGATGGGAAGTCGGCTGTTCTAGCCAAGAGCAATTTATTCGCTACGAAGGAAAAAAATGGTGTTGAAAACTCAGTTTATGAGGGCTGATGGGGGGTGGGAGGGAGGGGAAGGTGGGTGATGGGTATTGAAGAGGGCGTCTTTTGGGATGAGCACTGGGTGTTGTATGGAAACCAATTTGACAATAAATTTCATATATTTAAAAAAAAACTCAGTTTAAGAATTGGCTTAGTATTATTTAAATTCTTAACCCTCCCCTATGAATGTTTTATATGTGCAATGTGCACTGACAGGGAATATATATATACATATATATACATACATATATATATATATATAAATATATATATTTATTTTTTGCCAAAAATATATATTAAAAGACAAGGGTATTGAGTCAGTGCGCAGCTGAGATTGCCTGGATTCAGATCCCAGCATCGCCACGTAACTAGCTGTGACCCTGGCAAGTCACTGACCCTTGCAGACTTTAGCGTCCTCATTGGGAAAATGAGAAAAATCATAGCGCTACCTCCTGGGGTTGACATAGGAGCCGAAGGTTTTAACGGATGGGTTGGCAGTCGGAATGGTGGCTGGCGTACCATGAATGTTCATATGTAACATATCATATGCGTCTTGAGTGAGAAAAAAGAAATAACTAGAGATGTTTGTGTATGTTTATACATCGATGTGTTTAGAAGATTGGCTTCTAGAAAGATACAAACTGCGAGCAGGAGGGCGTGATGCCAAAGGCCGTTACTCTTTTTATTTTGTATCCTCATACACTGTGTTTAATTATTCTAATTACTAACATGTAAGACTTTTTAAATTAGTAAAAGCCTCCTTGACAAATTCAGTGTAGACTGTCTGTAAAGCTGCAGCTCAAGACCTTGTCAGCTGGGACCTGTCAGAGATTTTTTGTTTGGGGATAAAACACAGTGAAAGCATAGCTCGGGGAAAGTCAGTCTTTCTGTAGAAAGTGATTTTCTTTTCTTTTTTTTTAATGTTTATTTACTTTTGAGAAACAGAACATGAGTGGGGGAGGGGCAGAGAGAGAAGGAGGCACAGAATCCGAAGCAGGTTCCAGGCTCTGAGCCATCAGCACAGAGCCTGATGCGGGGCTGAAACCCAAGAGCTGTGAGATCGTGACCTGAGTCAAAATCAAGAGTCAGACGCTCAACCAACGGAGCCACCAAGGTGCCCCCATAAGGTTACAGATTCTTTTTTTTTTTTTTTTAATTTCTTTTAATGTTACTTTATGTTTGAGACAGAGCATGAGTAGGGGAGGGCAGAGAGAGAGGGACACAGAATCAGAAGCGGGCTCCAGGCTCCGAGCTGCCAGCCCAGAGCCCGACGCGGGGCTGGAACCCACGAACCATGAGATCACGACCTGAGCCGAAGTCAGATGCTTAGCCGACTGAGCCACCCAGGCGCCTGGAAAGTGACTTTAAAGTAGACATCAAACACTTAAGAGACTTATTCTTCTATAAATGGAACATGGTTTTTTTTTTTTTTTTTTTTAAAAAGAGTTAACACTGTAAGAGTGTTTAATGTTTGCTCCCAGAAAACAAGAAGCCCGGAGACCTGTGGAGGTTGTGGGGGCCGGGCAGGGGCGGGGGGGTCGACCCACAGGACTAGCCGCTCACAGGGCCTGGGGCTGACGTTCAGAGCTGATGGGAAGGAGGATGGAGCCCCTCTGCCGTCCCCACTGATCAGAGCCCCTCCCACCACGTCCTCAGGCCTCTGAGTAGCCCAGCTGTGAGAGCAGATCGTGCTGGAATCCTAGTTGAATATTAAATCAGTGTAGATGGCGGGGTGGGGGGGTGGGGTGGGGGGAGCCCGGCGGCCTCCACCCCACCCCAGCTCCAGACCGCGGAGGACCCCTGTGTGCACACCCTCCAGCCCTAAGAGCTCCTGAATGGGGTATTTGCTTTCTACTTGGACGATGGCGAGGGATCGGGTGTGCGTTTCTGACGCTCATTCCAGGAGGTGCTGTCCCCACAGGCGAGTTTTCACCTGTGAGCACGCACATGCTTGTTCTTAGCCGCAGCTGGTTGTTTTCGGCGGGTCCTACTTGCCACTGTCCCGAGCACCTGCTCTGCGTGGTGCCTTTGAGCCCTCACGGCATTAGGAGATGCTGACCACCGTCCCATTGCACAGGGTGAGAAACTGAGCATCCCCTAGGGTGTCCGTGGCCCCGTAGCTAGTAAGGGGCAGAGCTGTGGCACACGCCCAGGCTCTGTTTACTTAACAAGCTTTACCGCCTCCGGCTTCCTGTGAGGAAACGCAGTGTTTACCTCGAAACGGGCAAAGAGTAAAATCCAAACCGCGGCAATCCTGAAGAGGGAAAACACGCAAACACGTCCACGGAGTCGCCGGAAAACAGGAGGGCCACCCGAGCCTACAGAAGTCAGTCTTTTCGAGATGCACAGAAACTGCTCTCTAAATACTCTGGCCTTGGCGAATTGGGAGACAGGAGCAGTGACCGAGGGAGGCGCCTTTAGGGGCCTAAGACATTTGCCAGACTGTTCCCATCAAGAGGAATTCACGCACCTCGATTTAGTGGATACCGTTGTCCCGATCTCTGAGACCTGAGAGGAGTTTGTTGCATAGACATGGTTAGGAGAGATTTTTTTTTTTTTTAACGTTTTATTTATTTTTGAGACAGAGAGAGACAAAGCATGAACGGGGGAGGGTCAGAGAGAGAGGGAGACACAGAATCTGAAACAGGCTTCAGGCTCTGAGCTGTCAGCACAGAGCCCGACGCGGGGCTCGAACCCACGGACCGCGAGATCATGACCTGGGCCGAAGTCGGCCGCTTAACCGACTGAGCCACCCGGGCGCCCCAGGAGAGATTTTTAATAACGGTGTGGACCATGTCCTCAGTGATAGTTTTACTGGAGGGTGGATGTGAATCGCCCCCTGCCCCCCACCGCCCGCAGGGACCGTCCCCGAAAGCCCAAGCCGTGCTGTGAAGGGTCAGTTACGAGAAGGTGTTTTGGTAGCATGGACTGGGGCTTTCTGCTGGCTGCGGCTCAGGTAAGGGCCAGAGCTGGTGGCCTCTGACAACAGAAGACCGAGCAAAAGGTGGACAGGCTGTCCGTTCGCAGATGAGAAAATGCGAGCAACCAGTCAACACAGGGAAAGAGGCTAACCACCAGAGAAATGCAGATTAATTCAAATAACTTGGAATTTGGGGCTCCCGGGCGGCTCGGTTGGTTAAGCATTCGACTTCTGCTCAGGTCACGATCTCCCGGTTTGTGAGTCCAACCCCCCGCGTCGGGTTCTGTGCGGACGGCTCGGAGCCTGGAGCCTGCTTCGGATTCGGTGTCTCCCTCTCTCCCCGCCCCTCCCCGCTTGTCCTCTCCTCTCAAAAATATGTAACCACTGGGGCGCCTGGGTGGCTCAGTCGGTCGGGCGTCCGACTTCCGCTCAGGTCATGATCTCACGGTCTGTGAGTTTGAGCCCCGCGTCGGGCTCTGTGCTGACAGCTCAGAGCCTGGAGCCTGCTTCAGATTCTGTGTCTCCCTCTCTGACCCTCCCCCATGCATCCTCTGTCTGTCTCTGTCTTGAAAGTAAATAAACATTAAAAAAAAAATTAAAAAAAATATGTAACTACTAAAAAAAATTTTTTTTTTAAATTAACCTGGAATTTTTTTTTTTTTTTTTTCCGGCAGGTGGCAAAAATTGCCTCGTGGTGACGATACCAAGTTCTGGTGACATGGTAAGTAAAATGGCCCTCATCATCCGCAGAGGGGGCTGGCACGAAGGTCGGGGCGCACGGGGATTCACAGAGGAGCAGCTGGTGAAAGTGAACACACACCTGCCCTGTGCACCAGGGACCTGCCCTTCGGGAGAACCAGCACCCCCGTCACTCAGCATCAGCACGGGGGGCAGCCGAGACCGTGTAGAAGATGTTGATTGCCGCACGACCTTTAGCTGACGCGGGAATGACTTCAACGCCCATCGACAGGAAATGGAACGGTACTGAGTTTATTCCTACGGTGAAATACTAGGCAGCAGTTACAAGTGAACTTGATCTTTATGTTTTGTTGATAGGCCTCGAACACATAAAGATGTAAAGTGATACAGGCAATACGATAGTATTTGCTTAAGCAAAACGCGCTTGCGTATGGTTACGGATGTTTCTACACACATATTTACACACACACACACACACACACACACCCCGTATGTAGCTGTAAACAACTATGGACGTATACCAAATTCTTGGCAGGGCGAGAGGGGTGTGGACCTCTGTGTAGGGATTACAATGCACTCTGGTTGTATCTGTAATATTTTCTCACGACTGATAACACGGTGATAGATGGAAATCAAGTAAAATCGTAGTAATCGTTGATCCAGCGGGGGTGGGGGTGCTCGCCACACGGGGCTTTGTATTAATCTGTATCTTACACTGAGTGCGGGCTCCCAGGTCAACTGTGTCGCCTGCTCCCTGCTGTACGTTTCCGGCACTCACGAATATGATGAGCTCTCACTCCCACCGTCAGGTGCTGTTCCACGATAAAGATGGTTCTGGAGATGTAATGGAGGTCTCTGACCGGTTAACGTTGACGTGATGAGAAGGGAGATCCCTCTGGGGGGGCCTGACCCGATCAGGTGGGCTCTTTGGCAAGAGCGTCTGGGACTTCCCTGGAGGAGATTCAGAGCCGACGGGGTATCCTCTTGCTGCTTGGTGAGGCAGACGGCCACGTTGCGCAGAGGGCCACGCAGCAGGGACGTGTGTCCGGCCTCCGGGAGCGGAGGGCCGGCCACAGCCTCCAGCAGATGAATTCTGCCAACAGTCACGCGAGCTGCTCCGAAAAGGCCCCCAGCCGCGATGGACAGCCTGGCGGAGACCTTGGACGGAGCACCCAGCTGCGTCCGTGCTCGGCCCACAGACACCGTAGGATGAAAGCTGTGTGCTGCTTTAAGCCACCAAGTGTCACACAGCAATGGAAGAGGAGGACAAGCCCTGTCACGTGTCGGTTCTGGGGGCAGGGGGAGGGCCCAGAAATGAACAAACACCGCTTTGTTCCACAGGCTGGTGGAGGCGGCGGAAAAGTTGAAAGACACAATCTGGAGTGGCGAGAGGGGTCATGGAGATAGGACTGGGGGTGGCCTCCGGTTGGCCACGGCCGAATGAACCCCCACTGCTACAGAGCCCTGCGCAGTGCCCGCGAATGGGGCGTCGGCCACCACAGGTGCAGATCACGTGACGGGATGGACACCTCCCTCCCTTCCCCCGGGCCCATCGGCTGGCTGGTCTCCACCCGGCGTTTTCTGCCTCCGTGAATTCCTCTTCCACCTACAACCTGGAGGAAGCCTGTCACCGGTGGGAGAAAATGAGGTCGACACACAGGGAGAGCTGGGAGGTAAAAAGACAGGGGATCCTGAAGACGTTCGACACCCAGGTCCAGCTGAGCCTGAAGCCGGCTTGATTCCCATCCTTCCCAGTTAAAGGAACCAATAAACCCCGGGGATCCCGTTACTTCCTAGCCTTGCGTCCTCGTTAATACGGACATTCACGCAGCCCGGTAAACGGCAGGAGAAGTTCTCACACCGTACTCACTCCCGCCATTCCTAGACTGACGGTTCATATGAACTAATTAAGCGCCGTGAAGTCTTGGGGGGCAGGCGCCTCATTCCTGGGTGTCATCAGGGAGCCTGGAGGGAGCTCCGTGTGCCGAGACAGACGTGACGGGCGTCACGGCTCAAACGGTGCACACGCGTGAGTAAGGACAACACAGACATCTCACAAGGGGTTCTGCCGTCAGGCTGAGCTGTCTGGCTTGCCCGTGACCTGTGGGCGCCCTGAACGGATGGAGGGGATGGAAGTTTTTGAAACGACAGCCTGATGCTCCGGACGTGCTGGCCACAAAGAGACCCGTGGACGCAGCCCAGCGCAGGCGGTTGCTGGAGAAACCGGAACTGTAGCCCTGTCCTGGGGCTGTGTGTTCGAGTCTCCTTCCAGAAGTGGGCGGGGGGGGGGGGGGGAACCATTCGCCGTCAGACCAGCAGACCAGCACTCCAACTGAGCTCCGAACCAACAGGACGAAGTCTCTAGACGTTAGAACAAACCAGGTCATTCAGATCCGCGATCAGCTCCTGCCTGGATGTGGCCTTTCTCCTGCCGAGCTGGAGCGCAGGCCTTGGGAACCTGCCCTTGCCGTGGGGGACCCAGAAGTATCGCTCACGGCTGCTGTCCTGCTGGTCGCTGCTGGACGCTGCTGACACGGAGTCCGATTCCGTCAGGGGCGGCTCAAACTCCGGCCTGTCCCTGAGGTTCGGGGGGTGCTGTGGGTACTGGGAGCCCCGGGAGCGTGGTTTCTTGTACACGTACACCGGCCTGTCGGGTTGAGTCTCCAAGCCGTCACTCCAGGACCCGTGGGGCACCCTTCCCTGGCGCTTGGGGGCCGGGGTCTGCCTCTCTGACCTTTCGCCAACATAGAAGTGAGGAGGCCCTCGGAGGCCCGCCGGGGCGTGTGGGTGGAAAGAACCTTCCATCAGCTGCCTCCGTGGGGCATCCTCGTCTTCCTCACTCAGCTGCGGGGAGCCACCCTGCCGGGGGCCCCGGGACACAGCTTGTCGCGTGCTCCTGGGGTACACCTCCACCAGGTCCCCCAGGGCATCCATCCGGAAATGTCTCTCTGGCCAGAAAGTTGGATGGGAATTTTTGTGAGAGTCTCGCTCATTAATGATGTAGTAGCTGGGGGCCTGGGGCCTGCGACCACGCGGTGCCCAGGCCGAGGGGCCCGGTCCGCCAAGGGGAGGGCTGATGTGCTGAAAGCCTTTTCGGAAAAGAGGTTCTGAGTGAGCGTCTTCGATGGGCTTTGTCAGCATCACAGGTGAGCGGGGTCTGCTCCTGTGCCGGTCACCTGTGCTCACACAAGGACCACGCGGGCGCCTGTAAGACAGAGGTGGGTAAGCGCCTGGTCCGAGCCCCTGCCTCCCGAGCGCCACCAGCCAGGGAGGCCGTGTTCTCGGCCTTTCCCTGACCACGTTCCAGAGTGTTAACATGTGCTCTGCGGATGCACGCACAGGATGGTTTGGGGACCCGGGAGAAACAGAAGCCTTTGCTCCTGGAATTCTAGAACACCTACCGGAATGATGTGCGCGGTGCATCTCCATGGAGGGAGTAGGGCAGAGGGCGCTTTGCTAACATATCTCACCCTGAGCCCCCGTTTTGTCCAGGAGCACACAGTGGGGCTAATATTAGGCCAGCGCGTGTCGGGAGCGCTCCTCTGTGCCATCCCTGCCGTGGGCTGTCCGGCTGCTCAGGCACTTCCTGCCCACCCGATGGTACGGGATCCCTCCTCCCCGTCAAGGCCCCGTAGATACACTCTCTTATCGCAAGATTTCAAGTCCTCTGTGAACTTGGTCACTGTCTTTAAGAAAAAAAAGCCCAGGGGCGCCTGGGTGGCGCAGTCGGTTAAGCGTCCGACTTCAGCCAGGTCACGATCTCGCGGTCCGTGAGTTCGAGCCCCGCATCGGGCTCTGGGCTGATGGCTCAGAGCCTGGAGCCTGTTTCCGATTCTGTGTCTCCCTCTCTCTCTGCCCCTCCCTTGTTCATGCTGTGTCTCTCTCTGTCCCAAAAATAAATAAATGTTAAAAAAAAAAAAGCCCAAACCCCACCCCCTCCCCCCAGCATTTTATCTGAATTGCTTTCACGGTTGTCGCGATCAATTCCAACCACATCCTCCGTGAGTTGGGGTCAGTGCGCACTCCCAGAGTGCATCCGCTGCTGTCTTGTGTGGGAGGAAGGCTCAAACAACGACAACGGACCCCAGGTAACACAGAACGACCTTGCCAATAACTTGGCCAGCCCGGAACTGAAATATAAAAGATCTTGCCAATAATATGGCCAGTGTGGAGTTAAAAAAATAAAAGAACCAACAATTATAAAAGGCATTTTCTTCCCCTGAGGCTGTAGAAACACCTACCCTAGGTTGGCAGGAATGTTTGCTTACAGGTGATCCGGCAAAAGGCGGAGGGGGAAGAATGTGTCCTGTTTGACCCACTCTGTCCCCCCCATTTCTTCTCAGTACCAGCTGGCCCCGTGGCCGGCTGGCAGAGCTGGAATTTGACGGCCTGGCCTCCTGAAACTGCTGAGGCCCTCAGATCCCTAAGGGTTCTTCAACCTGCACTTCACGGCTCTGGCCATCACCGGCAGGTGTCACGGTCAGGGAGGCAGGTTTCCAGCTGGTCTGCAGATAAGCTCACCTGTTCGTGTCCTGCCCCGGCCTGGGTTTGGACGTGCCGGGAAGAGGCGAGCTGGGGCTGCGGGGGCCTGGCTGGGGACTTGGGGGTGTGTGCTGGGCAGCGGCCTCTACCCTGCCACTCTCACTGCTGCATGAGTCCCAATTGACCACGGCGCCGTTGCTCTGGGGTGTCCCCGAGTGAGCTGAGGACAGCTGGCTGCCGAGGTCGCCGTCCTTGGGAAGCCTCTTGCTGCTTTCGTCTTGGGTTTGGATTCGGGCTGCGGGAAGAGGGTGGGACGTGAGAAGGCAGGGGTGACCCGTCCGGGCTGGTTTAGCTGCAGGAACGTCAGGACGTCCAGCTGCTGGGTGTGCAAACCATTGTGTGCCTGGGGACACACCTATCCCGCGGGCAGCCAACGTTCCGTAACCCCGATCATATCCTCACAGGCAGCTGGAAGGGTGTGTGGACTCCCATGAACCCCGAGGCTTTATAGATGCATCATGTGAGGCCCCCAGAGGCAAAGCGGGTCGTTGCCCAGCTTTGGGGCTCTGGTCGTTTACCTACACAATGCATATCATAAAGCTTATACAACAATTATGAGCTTTTGGAAGCAGTTCACACAGCATTCTGGAAGAAGACGTAGCCTGGAGCTGAAAGAGGGCCATCGGACAAAGCCACTGCCCTCCCGAGAGAGCTCCCGAGGCCCTCGGTTTTAAGGACCACCCGAACTAAATTATGTCCCGTTGGCAAGTAGTCCTTGACTTTCAGTGGGGTTTGATCGTGTGAGCTTCAGTCTTTTTCTGTAGCGGATTTTCATACATAGGGTGCTTTCTGAAAAGGGGGAGGGGCAAGGCTAACCCTTGGGCCTCCTGGCTCTTCCTCAGCGCCCCCCCCAAGCCCCACGAGGGGGACGGATCTAATGAGCTCTGCAGACACAGAGCCGACCCATGGAGCCTTTTAGGGCTTCAATCTCATTCATTTTCTGCAGGAGAACATGGCCTGTGCCCTTTCAGCACTGCGGGGTGATCCCTCCGTGGTCTCTTCGTGGCCCCGGGGGCAGACGGGGGGCCCCGGGGGCCCACCTCCTTCCTTCCGGCCATACCAGCTCTCTGCAGGAGGGGGAGCCTGGGCGGGAACAAGTTTGTCGGGGCCCCTGGAGAATTTGGGGAGAGAAGGCCAGGCCCAGCTGGCATTGCCCTGCGGGAGTGGGACGAGGGGTACCCTCAGAAGGCTGCACCTGGGGCACCAACGGGGGGAGGGGGGTCTCGCAAAGGAAATGGCCATCGAGAGGTACAGAAAAGTTAACAAGACAAGGGCATCCGTATGGGTTTGCTCCAGATTTCTCTGCTGCTTTTTCTCTCCCGACTCAAACTCTCCTTCTGATTTCAGACATGTTTTGGTGCTATTCACAGGCCTGGGTATGACGGAAAAATTATAAGTTTAAACCAATATTTATAGCCCTATTTTATTGTGCCTAGTTCATTGTGAAAACCACAGTTTATCAGACATTTGTATTGGTAGCACACCTTAAACGGCTGTATTGAAAACATTGTTTTTAATGTTTATTTTTGAGACAGCAGGAGGCAGAGTGTGAGCAGGGGAGGGGCAGAGAGAGAGGGAGACACAGAATCGGAAGCAGGCTCCAGGCTCCAAGAGGTCAGCACAGAGCCCAGCGCGGGGCTTGAACCCACAAACCGTGAGATCATGACCTGAGCCAAAGTGGGACGCTCAACTGACTCAGCCACCCAGGTGCCCCCGAACTGCTGTATTTTTAAATGCCCCCCCCCCCCCCGCCGCCCCAACTGAGGCATGAGGCATTTTTGTTTCTACTTACCCTCTACCATTTGGGCAACCTTTTTCTTGTCTTCAGATCTGGCCTGAAATACAAATAATAAGCATGTTTGCTTTGGTTTTAGCAGGAAGAAGTAATGAACACTATTCTGGGGGAGGGGGGGAATTCACGTGTGACTGCTCACGCCTTGGGCCAAGAGCCTACGACTGCTATCACTTGGGGACAGCGTACTCGGGGACTCGGGCCTTGCTTAAATGAATAAACGCCGACACCCCAGAGCTGAAGTTTTACCCAGCAGGTTTTATTTTTAGGGCCAGCTGTTCGACAGACCGGGTGTCGATTCTGCCAATATGGTCAACCTGAGACACAGATGAGGAAATACAGATCAACATGGGACGTGTATGTTTCCCCAAAACGCCTTCTGTAGCTCCACGTCCGTTTCTTATGATGGTTCACGGAACTGTTTCTTTGCCTGAGCCGATACTCACAGGAGTTACGGTTTTCAAAGTTGAAAAAGGCGGATGTTTTTTGCGTGGGGCTCTGGGACTGGGGTGGGGCGAGGAGGCAGCCAGGAGTGGCATTGTAGGGAGGCACCGCCCACTCTCGGCTGCGTGGGGCAGGGTCAGCGGGAGCCCGAGAGCCCGTGCCTCCCTTGCCTCACCCCGTCCTGGCCGGGGCGGTGTGCAGAGGGGGGACACCGTGCCCACGCTGGACCTGTTAGTCTCCTTCTGACCGTCCTGAGAGCTAAGTCCCAGATGGGAGAGGGGGTGACGACACCGGAGCCTGAAAGTCATGAAAAAGGTGCGTCTTTGGGTCCAAACAGAGTGCGTGGGCTCAAATGTGCAAGTTGACACAGAACGGGAAAGGGGCCCTTTTTCCTTCCTGTGAGTGGGTCGCGGCCCACAGAAGAGCCCTGCACCCTGAGTCCCTGGGGCAGCCACAAGAGGGCGCTGACGCGCTCAGGGCATCAGCAAGGCCGCGGTGGGCGGGAGTCAGCTAGTTCCTGGGCCAATGGGAGCTGTCCCTGGGATTTCTTAGAAAGAACTCTGCTGGAGCCTGGGGGAGGCGTGGCCTTGTGCCCCGGAGGTGGCCAAGAGTCCTCGGAATCCGGAAACGTGACCTCACCGGTATTCCCTTGCGGGCGAGAGCTGCCCCGCGGCGGACACGCAGTCACGACGGCAGAGACGAGGCCGTGCTTACGTTTTGGATTTGCATTCTGAGCTGCTGGTTGCTGAGCTTTAAGGATCTTGCGATGCTCTGAAGGTAATAGATGACCATGCTGGGACGGAAGAACACAGGCCACGCGTGAGCCCCCCTCGCCTCCTGCTGCCGGCCGCCCGGGGCGCGCTCGCGGCCAGGCTGGTGCGGGATGATTTCAGCGTCTGTCCGACAAGACGACGATAGCGGCATTCGGCCCCATCGCAGCGGCCTCGGCGGAACGAAGCCCGCCGTCCCTCCCTCCGCGGCTCCCGCCTGGGTCATCAGGCTCTACGCGGGACTTTGCAATGAACTCGTGGCTTTTATTGGGTTATTGGAGAGCAGCGCTCTCTCGGTGGCCAGGGCTGCAGAAGTCCCCCAAGCCTGGCAGGGAGCGGGGTGTGTGCGTCGCGTGTGGTACTCACAACAGCAGCAGAGTGGCCGGCAGGATGACCACGGGGCTGCTGACGTACCCCACCACGGAGCCGAACCACGCGGGGAAGTCCTCCTCGATGGTCTCCGACACGACGTCGTACATCTTCTCTTGTCCGCTGCGAGGAAGACAGAACCCCAGATGGTGTTGCTTTTGGCAGGAGGACTCTACGGACCGTCAAGCAACAGCCGTATGGCCGGAGCCCCGTCCTCGGGGTCAGGTGCCAAGGGAGGGTAGATACCCCAAAGTGTAAGACATGCAACATTCCTAAGCTTTTGTATGACTTGTCCGACTGATGGGAGATTCGAAGGTGGAGTCAGCGATCACCGTGTGTGCGTGTGCGTTTTAAGGACGGTAAATGTCCCCGATAGTTTTGAACCCGACCTGAAGGGAAAGCTCGGCAGAGAGCTCTGGGCCCTGCTACCCTGACGCAGTTAGAGAAGTAACGTAGAATGAAAAGGGACGTGGGTTATCTTTTGATAACGGCTTCCTGAGCTCTGGAAGGGACGAGCGCCCAGGTGACCTCCTCTGTCGCACAGCAGGCTGTACCGTTTTGATAGGCTCTATCTTTTCCAGAAGAGCACGGAGATGTTCTCCCAGCCTGCCGTCAGGGAAAGGGCGCTCACCGGTCCTGGACTCCCAGGCTGTGGGTTCGAGACCCTTCTCTGCTGTTGACCTGTTCCGTCGGCCGGGAAGAGAATTCCCTTCAAGGCCGGGGCCCTTCCCCTAGAGCTCAGTCGCTCAGGGCAGAGGAGACAGACCCGAAGTAACTTACCTGAAGGGCCCGCAGTTCAGAGACGGCTTGTACCGAGCAATAGCAAAGACGGTGGGCAGCATGCACAGAAACAGCATGAACAGGAGCATCGCCAGGTAGAAGTTGTTGGATCTGCGAAGAAACCGCGTGCCGCCTGCTGAGTCCCTTCTGTGACAGTTGACCCGATGATATGCCCAAACCGACACCCACACCGAGGCCCTGACTCTTTAGACAGAAAAATCCTCCTCCTGCAGGAGGCTCCCGGGGCATTGGGGAGGGGGGGAGCTCAGTCGGTTGAGCCTCCGACTTCGGCTCAGGTCGTGATCTCACGGTTTGTGGGTTCGAGCCCCGCGTCGGGCTCTGTGCTGACAGCTCGGAGCCTGGCGCCTGCTTCGGACTCTGTGTCTCCCTCTCTCTCTCTGCCTTTCCCCTGCTTGCACTCTGTCTCTGTCTCTGTCTCTCTTCCAAAAATAAATATTTTAAAAATTAAAAAAAAAAAAAATGGGCGGGGGGGGGGGCGCAGGAGTGGCTCAGTCAGTTAAGCGTCTGACTCTTGATTTCTGCTCAGGTCATGATCTCAAGGTTCGTGGGTTCTGCCCACATCAGGTTCTGTGCTGCTGCACGGGGCCTGCTCGAGACTCGCTCTCCCTCTCTCTCTGACCCTCCCCTGCTCGCTCGCTCTCTCTCAAAACAAAGAAACATTTTTTAAAAAGTTTAAAAGGATGCTCAGGGGACTGTTGAAGGCAACGCTGTTCCTAGCAGGGTGGGGAGCACCCCACGCGCCCACCGACAGGAGCAGGGATAAAGGCCCTGGGGTGCTCTCCTTAGGAAGCCCCGCACGAGCGCAGAGCTGACAGTACACAAAGCCAGAAGCCGGGAAACGCGGCGCCCTTAGGAGTCGGTAACGAGGGAAATCGAGTGCAAGGGGGGCTTCCGGGTATGACTCTGGGTCTGCTTCTTGATCTGGGTGCCGGTTCCCTACTCGCACTCGGTTCGTGCACGTTTACGCCTTGTGCCTTTTCTAGATGGTTCTTAGACCAGGAAGGCGTTTCAAAACAAACGTGAGGAGCTGGGGAGGAGTGAATCGGAGTCGATCTGAGGGCGGGGCACGGGCGGGGGGCTTCAGGGGACGTGCGACCGGAGGACGGCCGGGCCAGGGCCGGGCGGCCGCTGGGACACCCCTTGCGGCACGTGGCCCCGGGGGCGGGAGGCCCGACGAGCCCTCCGTGTGCAGCGGCCGCGGTTCCCACTCACCTGGAGGCTCGGAACACCTGCTGGTGGGGCACGTTGCAGGTGAGCACGGCCCAGCTCCTCAGGTACATGAGCCCGATCAGCTTGAGCACGTTGAACGCCGGGAGGCACGGGGAGAAGAAGGCCCCCATCCTGCAGCACAGGGGAGGCGGTGAGCTGTGCCGCTTCGGACGCTTGGGGCGTCCCCGCGATGCCTAAGGAACCGGAGACACCCCGGAGGGGCCGGGAGCCGGGCCGCCCGGCTCGCGGACACGGCCGGTCACCCCCGCGGGCGAGGAGTGACCCTGTGACGCCGCCCCTGCCGCGCGGGTGTGCTCGGCGTTTGTGTCTGCCTCCTCGTGCGGCGGGGGGGCACACACGTTCGCCCCAACACCTGACAGTCGGCCTCGGGCCACCCCGCTTTCCCGAGAGACCCGCCTTAGTACCTCTTGTCGCGCATAGAAATCCCAAGAGGATCTTTGCTTTCTCGCTTTGACAAAATTGCCCATACGGCAGTCCCCTCCTGGTCTGCAGGGCTCTGTTCCAAAACCCCCGCGCTGGGGGACAGTGCTGAACCCCGCATACACCGGGTTTTCCTACACATCCCCCCCCCCCCAGGTGATGAAGTTTAACCTGCAAGGTAGGCACTACGAGATTAACAAGAACTCCCAGTAAAACAGAACCATTAGAAGATGATGTCACAAAAGGTCTATGAAAGTGGCCTCCCTCTCAAACTATCTTATGAACTGCACTCACCCCTCTTCTTGCCACGATGCGAGATTACTGTACTTATAAAAGTGCCTGATGCTGAGCAAAATATTAAATAAGCGTTGGGTGTGGCCTTAAATACTGCATTTGTGAAAACTGTGCAAAAGGGAGCGGACTATAAGGGTACAGACTTTGAGGAAACGTTACTCGATGCTTCTCTATGCCTCATGCATTTTACTGAATGATTAGGGAGAGAGATTGTGTTTTCTGAATGCACGGAGCCTCCGAAAAGAAGGGTGGAAACTTCTTTTCCTTGCCTGCATTTGAACAGACAGCACTGCGTGTGGTCCGACAGGCAAAGCCAGAGGCGGAGGCTTGACTCGGGGAGCTCCCCGCCGTGCTCCCACAGACACGCGCGTATGTGGGGGTCCCTTTGCGTCTTCGGTGTCCTTAGGAAAAAGATTGCCTTGGCCGGGAGTTGCCCCGCGTGAATGGATTTCATCCCAGGATGGGTCTCTCCGTCTGGACGATGGCCATGCTCTGGGCTCAGTGTCTCCATGAAAATATAGAGCCACATGGGAGGGACAGTGGGGGGCTGAGGGCGGGCCTGGACCCAGCTGTGACACAGCCACTCCTGGAACTCCTGGGGGCTCAGCAGACTGTGTTCCCAGCCGTCCCCCAACCTCCCAGCAGCTTATTCTAATGGTTCCTGTGCAGATATATATATATATATATATATATTTGGGGGGGGCTGTGACTAATAGTGGCCTAAATACAGACTATTTCTTTTCTCGTTCCTTTCTGCAAAATGCTTAGAAAGCCATTGCTAAAAAGCCATAGTAAAATTAACTACACTTGCAACATGGTCTAGTTAGGAACTGTTTATGTCGCTTTTAATTCTTATGACTGTTACAATCGTGTCCCGTCCAGACTGAGTAAGGCAAAATCTTTGTCCGGGGGGCGCCTGGGGGGCTCAGTTGGTTAAGCGTCTGACTCTTGATTTCGGCTCAGGTCACGGTCTCACGGTTTGTGAGTTGGAGGCCCGCATCGGGCTCAGCGCTGACGGCACGGAGCCTGCTTGGGATTCTGTCTCTGTCTCTTTCTCCCTGCCCCCCTCCCCCGCTCACGCTCCCTCTCTCAAAATAAATAAATAAACTTAAAAAAAAAAATCTTAGCCTGGATGAGAGGTACACAAAGGTAAGAAGGAGCTTTGATACTTACCAAATCATTCCTTGGTTGTAGACTAAATGTAACACGTTCTCTGCTATTTTGAATTCCCCGTATTCAGGCTACAAGAGAAAAGGAACTTTCACATTAAAAAAAACGGTTCCAGGGGTGCCTGGGTGGCTCAGTGGGTTAAGCATCCAACTCCGGCTCAGGTCATGATCTCACGGTTCGTGAGTGTGAGCCCCGCGTCGGGCTCTGGGCTGACAGCTCGGAGCCTGGAGCCTGCTTCGGATTCTGGGTCTCCCTCTCTCTCTGCCCCTCCCCTGCTCACGCTCTGTCTCTGTCTCTGTCTCTCTCTCTCTCAAAGATAATAAATAAATGTTAAAAAAAATAAATAAACGGTTCCAAAGTTCCTTGTGCGAACCAGTTCATGATAGTCACGTGCAAAGGGTTCTTTGGTGTTACAGACACAGAGAGATCGTGGTCTGCGTGGCCACCCCAGGAAACAGTACGGCTGAGAACGAGAAGGCAACTCAGCCCTGTGCACCCTCCCCTCTTCCCTCCCATTTCAGCCACATCAGGAGAGGAGGGTGCGGCCATAGGAGCTTCCCCGTGGACCCAGCATCTCACTTACAAACTTGCTTTCCAGGTCCCAGCACCAGTAGTCGCTCAGGTACCGGACGAAAAGTCCTCGGAAGAAGTCGATGAGCAGAACGCTGGCCACGGTGAAGAGCATGTCGATGATGGAAAGCTTCAGCATCTCCTGGAACACAGGGGGTCCTTGGGGCCACCTCCTCCTGCAGGGCCCCCAACCTCTGCCAGTCCCCACGCCACCCCCACCCCCCCACCGTGGCGTCTTCGCGTCTGGTGCCTAATGGGCGTTCAACGAATATTTGTTCATCTGAATTTGAATTTTGGTATCTGAGTCCAACCTGACACGAAACCAGGACAGAACCTGAGGTCTGTGGTTCTGAGTCACTGGAGACCACTTGGGGCCAGCGATTCAAGTTCACAGGACAGACAATAACCTGGGGGGTGTGGGGGGGTCGCTGAGAGTCTCTGCATGAGATCCCGTATGGGGAGGCTGAGCCTGGAGCGGATGCCCGGGTTCAGACCTGCCTTCTGCTCTTTACTGTCTGTGTCCACGGGCAAGTACCTTCACCCCTGGAGTCTCAGTTTCCCCGCGTGTGTCTACAAGGAGGGTCACGATAGGGTCTCATGGGGACTAAGCGCTTAACACGGGGCCGGCACGTAGCCAACGCTGCACGGGTCTTTGTGCCGATTGTTACCATCGAATCGGAGAAAATCGGAAACGCTCACTGAACCTGAGTTTCCTTTCCTATAAAACAGAGGTAGTGACCCTTCAGAACGAAGTGATGAATGGCTGTGGAGGGGCTTTACGAGGGACCGAGGGAGCCACCTGGCCGACGTATGTCTCCCAGCACTGGTCTTGAAGACTCTGGGTGTAGATGGCGGTCTTGTTGGCCCCCGCGAGGGGCAAGGGGGGGGTCGGCAGGCCAGCCTCCTCTGGGGTCCACATTCCGCTTCTCCCGAGCCCGGTCCCGGGCCCACGCGTGGCCCATTTCTCCCCTTCAGGGGCCGCACTGGCGGCAGAGAAGACGGCAGACCCCGTCCAGTGGCTCGCGTTACTGCTGGTGGCAGCTTCCTGCGGGGGCGACGGAAGGAAGCAAAAAAGATTGCTGCGTGTTTGTAAATAAGAATCGTAGACACCCAGAACAGCGCTGCTTGGGAATAATCTCCCTCCGCCTCTCTCTTTCTCACTGTGTCTGCCTCCCTGTCCGTCTCCGTCTATCTGTCCACTCTCTCTCTCTAGCTGGGTGGTTGGCCCCTTCAGCCCCGGCCTCCAGACACCGTCCAGGTTAACACCCGGCGCATCTTCTCGCCCCCGCGAGCGCGTCGGGACAGTCGTCACCCCGTGTTACGGAGGAGCAGGCTGAGGCTGACGGGGACGTTCCGGGGCGGTGTGCGGGCGCATCGCGAGTAAGGGACCCGTCCGTGTGGCGCCACGGCCGCTTCTGCCCGTGGGAGCCTTCGGAAGGTGGCGCCGGCCCGAGGCCCCCTCCCCCCTCCCCCCTCCCCCCTCCCCCTTCCCCCACCACGTGGGGCGCCTCACAGGTGCCGCGGGCTTACAAGGGGCGCCGGAGCTGCCCTGGGCGGGGCCGGGAGGGGGGCCCCCTCTGAACTGTCCCCACGCGTGCTCGCGTTCTCCCCAGCGCCTCCGTGGGTCTCACGGCCAGCCTCCCTTCCCGGGATCGTCCCCTGTCGCCGCAGATGCCCGCCTCGTCCCGATGGATGGAGCTCACAGAGGCGGGGCGGCCCGGGCAAGGGAGCAGGAGTCGAGACGCCCCGCTCCCCTCTCTCGGCCGGGTCACTCGCCAGCCATAAGCTCCGGCCTCAGTTTCTTTAGCTTGGAAACGGGGCTAATTCTGCTCTCTTTGCCTTGAGAAGGCCACAGCTGAGTTGAGTGGTGAACGAGACGAATGGAGGGCAAGAGTAAGCGGTGACAATGTCCGCGAGGGTGATGGCCCCTGTGGGTGTGCGTGTGTGTGCGTGTGTGTACACGTGCGCGCATGTGTGAGTACGTGTGTGCATGTGTATGTGTGCGCGCGTGCACGTGTATATCTGTGTGCACGCACATGCATGTGTGTATGCATGTGCATGTGTGCTGGGCGTGTGTGCATGTGTTTGTATGTGCACGTGCAGGCATGTGTGTGCACACATGCATGTGTACATGTGTATGCACGTGCACGCGTGTTTACATGTGTGTATGCATGTGCACGTGTATGTGCCGCACGTGTGTGCATGTGTGCGTGTGTTTGTATGTGTGCGTGCAGGCATGTGTGTGTGCGTATGTGCGTGTGTGCACAAGTGGGCATGCATGCATGTGTGTGTGCATGTGCGCATGTGTTTGTGTGTGTGCGTGCAGGCATGCGTGTGCGTGCATGTGCGTGTGTGCACAAGTGGGCATGCATGCGTGTGTGTGTGCGCGTGTGTGTGTGCATGTGCGCGTACAGGCGTGGCAGCGAGGATGGGACAGGGGCCTCTGCCGAGGATGGCACTCACCTCAGCGCTCATGCTGTTAACTTTGTCCAGGAGAGCGATGATCAGGCTGTAGAGGTTCCCCAGGTACAGCACGAGGACCCTGAAAACACACGCCCACCTGGAGAGAGAGCCCCACACGCAAGTCCGAGGTTCTGGACGTGCCCCACGTGGGAGCGAATCTCACGGTCACCCCGAGACAGTGGCTGCCCCACGCGGTTCCCTTCAGAATCGTATGGGGGTGGGGAATAAAAACTCCAGAGCGCATCCTGCTCAGTCGGTCTGAAGGGGGCCTGGGGACCCCTCAGGCCCCGTCCTGGGGGCAGCATACTAAAGCTGCTAGTGTCGCAGGAAGCGTGTGAGCTCAGGAGGTGGGGCTCTGGAGGGTCGTGTAAATTACGCATCTTTGTGTCCCCATTCCTGGTTCGTAAGGTGATTTTCCAGGCAGGGTCTCATTCGAGACTCCCAACCGGTCAGGCGCGCGCTGAAGGGACAAGTGGATTGCAACACGGGGCCCAGTGAGCGGCTCAGGTCCAGAGTTCTCCAGAGGCAGAACACCACCTGAGCGCCGCAGGGTCTGCTTCCCACACGCGGGTCAGGCCGCCAGCCGCTCGGGGGACTTTGGGCAGCTGTGAGCGGGGGGTCAGCCGGCCACCGATCAGAGACGCGCTCCTGGCCGGGCAAACACGCCCTGGGATCTCCCGGCACACGGCCTGAGCCTTGGCAGACGCGCGTCGGGGACAACGAGGCCAGACAGGCGAGCGATGGGTTCACCAGCTCCTCCCGGGGACCCTGGCTGGCACTTAGGGGGTCACAAAACCGGTACAGGTGCATGAAGAAGAGAAACGGCTTTATCCCGAGGACCAGACTCCAAGCTGATGCTTGGCATCACCCCTCGGTCCTCAAAGCCCCGTTGTTCACAGGTGCAGTTCAGACACGTGGGTGGGAGCCAGCAGGGGGGTCTGGGGCATCACTGCCACCGGCCCTGGCTCGCCCCTCCACTCCCCGCACAGAGGAGCCCTGGATCCCCCCTCGACTCCCCGCACAGAGGAGCCCTGGCTCTCCCTCGACTCCCGGTGCACCCAGCCAGAACCCGTTTGTCTCTGCATTTGGGGCACCCGCACAGGGCAGGACCCTCCGAATATGCTCAGAAGTGCTGCCCGACAGGAGAACAGAGGATTAACACGTGTTTTCCTGGTCCCCCTTTGCTCTGGGCCTCCCCGGGCCCTGGACAAAAGGTGACATGATCTGCTGTGGTGAGTTAATGGGACTAAAACAATATGTCTTGCTCTTATGACCAGAATTAGACCTAATTTGTCTCGGGCAAGTCTCTTGATGACTCTGTTTCTCTAGCTTTGACCGTGAATAACGAGACCGATCTGTAGAATGCGATTGCTGTTAGAACCAATGAAGTAATAGAATTGATCCTCCCCAATGCTTGCTGGTGAGGACAGAGCTGAGGCAGACACTTCTCTCTCTCAGGTCAAGATCGGGGCTGGGCACAGGAGGAGGACCGGGTTTGGGCCGGTTTGGAATCTCATCCTGGAGCCACCCTGGGTGGGGAGGTTTCTGCAGACCCCTTGTGGGCTCTTTCTTTATTTCCTTCCTTCCTTCCTTCCTTCCTTCCTTCCTTCCTCCCTCCCTTCCTTTTCTTTTTCTTTCTTTCCTTCTTTTCTTTCTTTCTTTCTTTCCTTCTTTCTTATTTAATTCCAGTTAGCTAACATATACAACACCCAGCGCTCATCCCAACAGGTGCCCTCCTTAATGCCCATCCCCCATCTAGCCCATCCCCCTACCCCTCTCCAGTGACCCTCAGTTTGTTCTCTGTATTTAAGGGTCTCTTACGGTTTTTAACCCCCTCTCTGTTTTTATCTTACTTTTCTTCCCTTCCCCTATGTTCGTCTGTTAGGTTTCTCGAATTCCACACATGAGTGACTTAGTTTGCTTAGCGTAATACACTCTAGTTCTATCCACGTTGTTGCAAATGGCAAGATTTCCTTCTTTTTGATCGCTGAGTAGTATTCTGTTATATATACCATACACAAAAACAAATTCGAAATGGGTGAAAGACCTAAATGTGAGACAGGACACCATCAAAATCCTACAGGAGAAAACAGGCCGCAGCAACCTCTTACTAGACAATCTCCGGAGACAAGGGAGATAAGAGTGAACTAGTGGGACGTCATCAGAAAAAAAGGCCTCCGGGGCGCCTGGGGGGCTCAGTCGGTTAAGCGTCTGACCCTTGATTTTGGCTCAGGTCACGATCTCACAGTTTGTGGGATTGAGCCCCACATCAGGCTTTGCTCTGACAGCAAGAAGTCTGCTTGGGATTCTCTCTCTGCCCCTCCCCCGCTAACGCACATGTATCCTCTCAAAAGAAATAAACAGTTTTTAAAAAAAGATACAAAAGCTTCCGCACAGCAAAGGAAACAACAAAACTAAAAGGCAACCGACATGGGAGAAGATATTTACAAATAACATATGGGACACAGGGTTAGTATCCAAAATCTATAAAGGACTTGTTGTCAGTCAAGGTGTGAGGGACATGGCCACACCCGCCTGCTCCTTTGCAAATGGCCCCTGGCCACTGTCCTGATGTAACAACCTCGGGGCTGAGCAGAAGCCACAGAGACCTATCCCGCAAGACCCAAACCGTTCACCCTCTGGTCTTTCTGGACAACGTTTGCCACCCCTGAACGAGAGCAACCTTGCCCGAAGCTGGCGGGCGACTGGTTCTGCAGAATGTCACCGAGCGGCACGAGAGACGACGCAGAGGCAGATGTGAGGCGGGGCTGTGTGGCGCCTCCCCGGCCCCGCTCGGCCAATAGTCCCCGCTCCTGGTCTACCGCATGGACGAGGGGACTGCCCTCTGGGGGCCGTGGACTTTTCAGGGAGACGGGGAGAAGCCAACACTAGAAACGGATGTGGGTGCCCTGCCCCCATGGGGACACCCCGTCAGACCCAGCAGCTGCCATGCCTCGGGCCTCCAGCACCCCCAGCCGTCGCGTCCAGCCACCAGCCTCGCACCGCCCTCTCCACCCCTCTCTCCCAGCCTCCTTTTCCTCCTCCTTCCCACTTTCTCTCCTGCGCATCCTGCTTTCCTTGAGAGGCACCCCCGGGGAAGTTCTGTGCTAAGCTTTAAGGGCAGCGAACAAGCTGGGCTCTTGAGGGACGCGGGTCCCCCGTGTGGGGGGCACACGGGTGCCCCCCGCGTGGCATTTCCCACGGGGCTCCCGTACCTTGCCAGCTGAAAACGCAGCGTGGTCCGCGGGTGGTACATCTCCAGGGCGGCGATGAGGTCGAAGGCTGATGGCGCCAGCATGGTGACCAGGGAGACGACCACACTCACCTGCCGAGAGAGCGCGAGCCAGCCCTGAGTCCCCAGTCCCCCCCCGGCCCGGACTCGCGTGCCTCCCGCTGGCCTCCTGGCCTTCCGTGCGGTCGCTGGGCACCCGGAGGGCTGTGCGGTTCCCACGCAGAAACCCTCCCCCAGATCCCTGCCGATTCGATGTTTCGGAGAGGCCCCTGCCACCCTGTCACGGGCTTTACTCCTTTTAGGAGCCGGCTTTAATCTGAGATGCGGACGTTTGCCACCGGGGATTTGTGAGCAGTCCCGCCACGTCTCCCAGTTGCCCTGCTGGTCACTTGGATGGCGGGTGGAGGTGACCCAACTATTACACGCAGGAAAGGGGGGTGCCCACAGGTGATCGGATACGCTTTCTGCACACGGAAGAGTAAATATCTCGAGGGTCACGCCTGGGTCCTGTTTATCTGCCTTTCTGACGACGAAAGAAGGACGTTTAGCTGGTACCCGGGCGGTGTGAGCTAAGGAAAGATGCCATATCTGAATATGCCTTTAAAAACCTGGTCTATCTGCAAACACAGGTAACCCACTTACCTGGCATGAAATAAGAGGCCTGAGAAAACCTGACCTGATGCCGTCTCAGGTTCTGAACGAGGGTCGCTTGAGGAAAACCTAAGAACAGCCTCTCCCCTACGCACTTTGCTCTGTAAATTCCAAGGATGACGCTCGTTTCTACAACAGCAGTCGGTGGGACGGTCTCCACATCTGCCTTTTAGACCTTGGCGGGAAAAGCCAACGGGGTTTGGGAGGCAGCGGCCTTACAACAGATACTAAGAATTAGGAGAGTGGTCGTAACGTTTCTCTCGGCCGCTTCCGTCATGGGAATATTCACATCGACCAAGAGAAGAGACCTTTTAGCAAACAAGCCTGGTTTGGGATTTAGAAATCCCTGTTTGTTAATTTAGAAATACGGAGGGGGCGCCTGGCCGGTCCATCCATTAAGCGGCCAACTTCCGCTCAGGTCATGATCTCACAGTTCGTGGATTCGAGCCCTGCGTCGGGCTCTGTGCTGACAGCTCAGCGCCTGGAGCCTGCTTCGGATTCTGTGTCTCTCTCTCTCTCTGTGCCCCTCCCCTGCTTGTGCTCTCTCTCTCTCTCTCTCTTTCAAAAATAAATAAACGTTAAAAAAAAAAAGACATATAGAAACAACCTAAGTGTTTAAGAGCTGGCGTGTGGTCAGCTATGACAGGTGCCACGGACTGCGATTTGGTCATTAAAGCGAGGCTGCGGGGGATGTCCGTGTCTGGAAACGTGTGTGTGCGAAGAACCACCACGAGAGAGCAGCAAACCACAGTCCGCGAGACCCAAAGGCGAAGAAGGAAACGAACGCTTGCAGGTGACGTTGAATTGGAACCGTTCCCGACAGCGACCAACCAAACCATCCCTCCAGGTCTTGGTGTGGCCCCTGTGGCTCAGAGCCCGTGCAGTCGGTATTCTCGGACAGGGGGACTAGGTTGTCCAGGGGGATATTTCCAGCCCACCTGCCTAAGGAACAGCCGGGAAGGGGAGGGCAGGCTGCTCTGGCATCTCTCCTGGAGGGTGCGTGCGGGGAAGGTGGTGAGTACCTCGTTCTTCTCCCAGAGCGTCAGCTCCTTCTTTGACTGTTCCAGCTTCTGGGACCGGTCCACCACGAAGTAGATGAGGTAGATGCTCCCGGCGAGCGACAGAAGCACCAGGATATTGGCAATAACCCTCAGGCACACGGTCACTGCCCTGCGGGGAGAGGCGAGCGTGAGCATGGGGCGCTGGGCTGCGCTCTGGGCACCGCGTGAACGACGGGACCCACCTCGTGTCGTGTGAACCCCCTGCCCCTGAGGCGTCGGTGCTCTCCCTACCCACCCCCAAACTCCTCCTCTCCTGAGGGATCAACGAGGACTTCTAAGCCCACCCCACTGCCCTCGGGGGGACTCGAGACAAGTCTTGCGAATGTGACACTGTGCACAGGTCCATGCGGTAGGTGATCAGCTGTCTTTCCCTCGAGAACATACGCTCTGAAATGGTTTACTCTTCCTCGCCGTGGTATGCTCAGCTCCTGGAATGGGCCCAGCGCGTATAAACACATCCTAGCTTTTTTCTAGATGATGAACGAGGAATGGAACAGGGGTTTGCTCTTTCCTTGCTAACTCTGGGGGCAAACTCACTGATTCCAACTGCTTCTATATATATATTTCTTATCTTTTTATTAAAAAAAAAATTTTTTTTTTAGTGTTTATTTGTTTTTGAGACAGAGCGAGAGAGACCGAGCATGAGAGGGGAAGAGGCAGAGAAAGGAAGACACAGAATCGGAAGCAGGCTCCAGGCTCCGAGCCGTCAGCACAGAGCCCGACGCGGGGCTCGAACCCATGAACCGTGAGATCGTGACCTGAGCCGAAGTCGGACGCTCGACCGACTGAGCCCCCGAGGCGCCCCAACCAACTGGCTTATTTTGAAGGCGTCTTCTTCCAACTTTGGGGCCAGACTTAGCCTGGGTTTCCCCGCAAACAGAGCATCAGGCAAAGGCCTGTTTGCAAGTACTTTACTCGGGGTGTGATCCCAGGGGATCTGTGGGGGAGACAGGAGGAAGAGCAGCCAGAGGAGGGGACGTGACAGACTTGGCCACAGCTCGCGGCAACGGCAGGGCCTTCTGAGGGGCTTGCGAGCTGTGTCTCAGGTCGGTCTGCCCGGCGAGAAGTAGGGAAGCCTCTGTCATCGCTTTCCTCCCTGCGGGTCAAGGGTGGCTCCCCGAGAGTGAACCCCCGGCGTTGCCCCTAGCCCGTCAGATTCCCGTGCACGCACGCTGGCCGGGGTTCGGTGGGTGCCCCACACTGCAGCCTCAGAGGGGCTGTGGGGGGGGGGCACTGAGCAGCGGGTACCGGTGAGGGGTGAGGGGTGAGGGGTGAGGGGTGAGGGGTGCGAGGGGCCGTGTGCACACAGCTGTGGCGCCCCCACGGCCCTGCCCGCAGCAGGTGCTGGAGGAAGAGGCGTGGCCAAGGAGGACGTGAAGGGCACAGAAGAGGTGTACCAGCCTCTCTGTAAAGCGTAATTCCACCCTCCGGGTGACCTCGGGCTGGTCGCGACACCCCCCTCCACATCAGTGGTGGCCCTTCATCATCTGTACAAGGGGGAAGCTCACCCCCAAGTGATCTGATGAACGTCACCTTGTCTTTCTGTGCAGAACTTTAGATGAAGAGTCAGAACACTGCCGATGGAGGATCTCAGAGAGGGTGAGGTCCGTTCACAGCGTCCTGTGCTTGCTCACCTGCTCCTGTGCCCAGACCACGCTGCCGTCCTGGGTGGGGGCCAACCAGGGCTCCCAGGCCACGCTATGGTCATTGGGTGGGGGGGGCCACCTGTTGGTCCCCGTGCTGACTGCGCCCAACAGTGCACGTGACGGGCACAGGCTGGGGTCGCCAGTCAAAGGTTCACTTCGCCCGTCTCTACCCAATCCTTCCGCGTCCTGTGATAATATCCTGGATATCCCAGAAGGCCTATCGCGGGCCTATTCTCCCCAGGCTTTGGCAGCCGCGGGAGGATTCAGGAGTCGCTTGTGGAAGAGACTTGGGGAACAGGCTTTTCTTGTTGCTGATGTATTTGCTTATCATGATGGGTCGTGCGTCATCTTGCAGTCAGACGCTGCAGTTTTTAAATGTGGGGGACAGCAAAATCACCTGGTAAGAATGTGGATCGTGGTGGCCCACATCCAGACGTTCTAACTCAGGGAATCGGGGTGGGCCCCAAAGTGGTCGGCATGTTTCGTGCCCGGGGGGTGGCTGTGATGGGTGGGTGCTCTCTGCCCTCTGAGAAGTTTCTATGGAGCCCCATTCTCGTTTCACAGGGGAGGAAGTGGAGGCCCGGAAGGGCCAGGGGACCGTCCCGGGTCGTGGGAGCTAAGGACGAAGGGAGAGTAGGCACCCCTCCCCCGCCTCCCTGTGGGGAATCCTTCCCACCTGCTTCCTCAGGGGCTTGCGTGGGCTTGCGCACCTCCCCACATCCACGGCGTGGCTCCGACAGGCTTTCTGCGTCACGGAAACGAATCCAGGGGCTAAAGACCCAGGGAGTATGTCAGAGAGTTGTCCCATGAGGACAGGTCACTGTCCCTTGGGGGATTGGCCCTTCCGTGTCAACTCTCTGGCTAAAGGGCCTCACCTCACCCAGACAGCCCTCAAATCCCAGAGAAGTTCAGATCTGAGCCATCACCTTGGAAGGCTTGTCGACAAGAATTGGATACTATTTGCGTCTTGTGACTTCTGGGATTTGTTGCTCGGGGACCTGGGTGGCGCAGTAGGTTGGGTGTCCGACTTCCGCTCAGGTCGTGATCTCGCGGTTTGTGGGTTCGGGCCCCGCGTCGGGCTCTGGGCTGACGGCTCGGAGCCTGGAGCCTGCTTCCGGTTCTGTCTCCCTCTCCCTCTGCCCCTCCCCCGCTCACGCTCTCTCTCTCTCTTTCTTTCTCTCAAAAATAAATAACCATTAAAAAGAATAAAGTACTCTTTGCTTAATTTAGCAAGCTAGAAATTGGTGCTAAAAATACCTCCTTTATTATCTAAGTAAAAGAACTCTCACACTGTGGCCTGATCGAAGGAGGAAGGAGCCACTCTTGACTACTGCTACTGACCGATTAGATTACAGGCTTCCCACGTGTCACATTACTAGAAAGACGGATTTTAAGAAGGAAGAAGAGGGGCGTCTGGATTGCTCAGTCAGTCAAATGTCCAATTCTTGGTTTCAGCTCAGCCCATGACCTTGCATTTTGTGAGTTCAAGCCCTGCATCGGGCTCCATGCTGACCGTAGGGAACCTGCTTGGGATTCTCTCTCCCTTCTCTCTTTGCCCCTCGCCTGCGCTCTCTCTCTTTCTCTCTGTCTCAAAACAAATAAATAAACTTAAAAATATTTTTAAAAACGAAGAAGAGCTACCTGACGATGTGTGAAAATAAGATATAGATAGTTGGATCATTTTTGTGCCAAATTAAAGTAGCATTTCAACGAATGAAGCATGGGGAGTCTCCATACGTACGGGTTTTTACTTTTCTCCTTCTCCTGTTCTTCCAGGATGGCCTCCTTTAAGGAAAGACACATTCAGTTAGAAGCTTAGCGTTACCATTAATCATAAGTCTTCAGAATTATTTCATGATAAGAAATGATGAGTCAGTATCTGGAACCGCTCTGTGAGACGTTGTTGACATCAGTGCTTTGTATAATCATTAGATGAAAACGGAGGGGCGCCTGGGTGGCTCGGTTGGTTAATTGCCCAACTTTGGCTCAGGTCTGGACCTCGCTGTTCATGAGTTTGAGTCCCGCGTCGGGATCTGTGCTCACAGCTCGGAGCCTGGAGCCTGCATCGGATTCTGTGTCTCCCCTCTCTCTGCCCCTCCCCTGCTTGCACGCTGTCTCTCTCTCTCTCTCAAAAATGAATAAACATTAAAAAATAATTAAATTAAAATAAATGCACATGGGGGCTTGGGGACACGAGGGGGCAGAGCATGTTATTTGATAAATGAAATGATCTAATGGTATTTCCCGAAAGGGGCAGCATTGAGCTGTCGGGTTGCTCAGTAGACCCGAGTCCCTGCGAGCTTCTAACTGCTTCCTCTCCTGAGCTACCGCTAAAGCTCATATCGCCAACACGCGTGCATTTTTTCACTCACAAATTACCTGCAATATGGCGGCAATCCCTTATGCAAATTACCAGCAATGCACCAACTGAAATTTTCGGGGGATGAAATTTAGAAAATTAAAGTAAAGAGTTTTTCAATGCCCCGTTCTGTATTCCATGGGATTGTGGGTGCACGGGGCCGGTCCCCTCGCCGAGGAGGACTCGGACTCTCGCGGAGGCCCAGGGGCTCCGCGGTCAAGGCTGCGGGCGAGGTCGGAGGACCCCTGGCCGCCCTCGGCGCCCCCTGCGCCGCCCCACTCACCCTGATGCTGTTTACGATGGCGGCCGTTTTGCTCTCGGCGGCCTCCGGGTTTCCGATGAGGTAATCCCAGGCACAGAACACCCTCCAGCAGAACGTGTAGTTTTCATTGGAGGCTCTGGCGAGGCTCGTGCGCGAGTTCTTGGCCATCCTGCAAGAGAGGAGCCGGGACGAACATGTGAGGGCAGCGTCAGATGGGCCCCGGCCGCCCCTGGGGGGCACTGGTGGGTCCAGCGCCCCTCTTGTGCAAATGGCATTGGCCACTCTGGTGGCCGGGAGGACACTGAAGGCATGTGTGCCCGGGGCCGGGCAGTGTGACTGTGAAATCAAACTCTCCCTGGAGCTGACCTCGTCGTCCTGCCCACTGAAGGGAGCCTGTCAGGTGCCTCCTGCCCATGACACCCTTGAGATGCCTCTGAAGGCAGGAGCCGCCGTCCCTCTTCCTTCAGACTGAAGGTCAAAGTCCCTCTGCCTTCAGACTGTCTCTGGTGATAAGCTTTTATCTGTTCTCTCTCCACAGTCCTTGTTCCTGAGTTTGCTCTCATCCGTCTCTTAGATTGTAACATCGAGCAAAAGGCCTGTCTTCCAGGTGGGGGTTTTGAGAACCCCCCAGAAGCCAGGTTGGAAAGCTTCTTGCCAAGTGGAGGCCCCTGGGTCACTGTGCACCTCTTTAGGCTTTTGTTTTTTGATGGTGATGGTGATGGTGCCCACGAGGCTGACAGAAGCAGCCGGTGAGCCACGCAGGGTGGGGCCAGGTTCTCCCTGGACTCCCAGCCCGTCAGTCAGTCCGCTGTGTCTGGCCCCAATACAGAAGCTGGGCATGTGAAGGCTGGCAGGGCACCCGGCCGTCCTGGGAGCCAACCCGCCCATTTTAGTAATGAGGCCCAGGGAGGGGAAGTGAGTGGCTGTGGGTCTCGCGGTGGGGACGGTGCGGGACGCCTCACCCCCAGCCACTTTGTCTTCCTCCCACCGTGTCCCCTCTCAGTGATGGACCGGGTGTGCCAACCGCATCATGACGCGGACGAGCCTGTCCCTTACCGAACTCGTAGCTCGGTCACAGGCCGACGTGCGGCCAACGGAGAATGTTTGGCTCTCTGCAAGCTCCGGTCACTTAGACCATCCTGTTCCTATCTCTGTCACCGCACTTACTAAATTGCCTGAAATTACGTTAACTGGTAAGTCTGTGGGATTCTTGTCTCTCCAGACCCAACCCGGAGCCTGGCACAGAGCTGCTGGTTAAAATGAGCACCTCTCTCTTTAGCTTTGGTCCCCCCACCTACAAAGCGGGGACAGTTCTGCCTTAACGTTACACGGTATTGGCCAGCTTGCGATCACATGTATCACTCTTGGCATGTATTTGGAGAAACTGAGCAGCCATACTTTTTTAAGAGGATGATGAAGCTGTAAGCAAACACAGCCATGCCCACCAGGAAGTACGCCAGGGGCAGCCGGTAGCCCACTCTCCCGATCCTTCTCTCCCTGCCGTAATAGCCGTAGAAGAGGACAGAGTACTGTAGATAACCCTGCAAAGAGAGAGCACTCAGCGTCACTTCCGGGCTCCAGAACTATGGCCCCCGTTCAGCCTTCCCTCAAGATGAGAGTGCGACCCAGCCTCCACCTCACCCCCAGGGACCAGACGGTGTCCAGGTCTTCGGCAGACATAACACTCTCCTTGGGGATCGTCTTGCTGTCCGTGCTTCCGAAGGGCTGGCCCGCAATGAGCTGGTGGGAGAGAACAGGACGTCGTGGGATCCTCAGTGAGGGGAGGGGACCAGAAGAAAAGGGGTGGCCGATCCCCACGGCCTGTGAAGGCGTTGCACGTGTGAGATCTCTAGGGGCTGGATTTCTGTTGATTCTCACTGATGGAGAGGTAATCCCGGGTGGGCAGATTTTCTCTTCGCTTGATCAGCTCGCCTGGGTATTCTGTCTCTGGGCTGGACGGGGCTTCTACAGATGGGTTTTTGGGGTCACCGGGTTTCTTTGATGGCACGGAAAATAACCCCATTTACTTTGGGAGGACAAAGGTTAGTTGAGAAGTGGGTTTTATTTGAACAGTGTCTGCACACTGGCCCAGATGCCGAATCTGGCCTGTCACCTCTTTTTGAACAGCCTAAGAGCTAAGAAGCATTTTTGCATTTTTAAATGGTTGGAAAAGAATTAAAAGAAGAATGATATATTGTGACACTTAAGAACGATCTGAAAGTCAAATTTCAGTATCCATAAATAGAATTCGACTGGGGGCGCCTGGGTGGTTCAGTCGGTTGAGCGTCCGACTTCAGCTCAGGTCGTGATCTTGAGGTTCATGGATTCAAGCCCCGCATCAGGGCTCTGTGCTGACAGCTCAGCGCCTGGAGCCTGCTTCGGATTCTGTGTCTCCCTCTCTCTCTGCCCCTCCCCTGCTCACTCTCCCTCTCTCAAAAATAAATAAACATCAAAAAAATTAAAAAAAAAAAAAAGAATTCTACTGGAACACAGCCACACTGTTCATGTGCCATCCGTGGCCACTTTCACACCGCTTGGCAGACAGAAGGGGTGTGACGGGGCCGCGTGGCCCCGCAAAGCCCGAGCTATTTACTAGCTGGCCCTCCACAGAAAAAGTTTGCTTGAATACAAGGATGATGAGGGGAGTCGTGTTATGAAACTGCTCTGACATCTCTTGTTTTTAACGACTGGCATTTTTATCTCTCCTGAACTAGTTCTTACCTCTGGAATGACAATAAAAGCACCTGTCATAATTGTGAGCACAATATTAATTCCAAATAACCATCTCAAGAATATGAAGTAGGAGGCAACACCAGATCCGAAATGACCTAAAGAAAGACAAGATAATAAGAACGATTACAAAAAAAGAAAAAAACCCCAAAAAAACAAAAAACCCAAGACAAACAAACAAAAAACCCCCATACGCACACAAAAACCAAAAACGAAAAAACAAAACAGTATAAACAGGATGAACAATATAAAACCCTCACGGTGCAAAGTTCTCTGTAAGGAACGTTGCAGTTGTTTGTGTATCGGGGCACAGACCAAGAAGGCCAACTGGGGTGTTTCCCCAGAATAGTCATTTACGTGGGTCAAGATGTTCCCTGGTATTTCCAGTTATAAGCACAAAAAAAAAAATCCCTAATTTCATAAGTTCCCTAATGACATATTCATTATGTCATTATACTTCAAATTCATTATGTCAAAATACTTCTGAAATACTCGTCAAATTTACAACATTTCACGTATGTTCAGAAGAACATCAGCATCTTTTGAGGGGAGCCTGGGTGGCTCAGTCGGTTGAGGGTCTGACTCTTGACTTCTACTCAGGTCATAATCCCAGGGTGGTGAGATCGAGTCCCGCATCTGGCTTTGCACTGGGAGCCTGCGTGGGATTCTCTCTCTCCCTCTGTTCCTCTCCCCTGCTCATGTGCTCTCCTTATAAAAATAAAATTAAAAAAACCCAACTCTTTTAAAAAAAGAATCAACATCTTTTGAGAATTTGATATATATATATATGTGTGTATATATATATATATATATATTTCATTTGTTACAGTTTTGAGAATTCCCAGGATTTTTCTTAGAATTCTTTTGTCTTAATTTCAAGATATATAGCAATTGGCTAGATGTTAACATTAGGGGAAACTGGGTAAAGGAATTATAGAAGCTCCTTACAACTTTCCTATATACCTACACTTTCCTACATATTTTATTCTAAATAAAAAGTGTATTCAAAACCTAATTTCTATTAAGAAGATAAGGGTGTGTGTGATTTGTACCATACTTAAAAAAAAAATCCCCTGAATTTGTATTTCAAATTTAGTTTACGTTGGTCACAATAAATAGGAAAACACAAAACATCACAAAGAAAAAAAAAACATTACCTATTCTAGAACACTAAATTAAAATTACTATTAGAGTTTCTGGGGCGCCTGGGTGGCTCAGTCGATTAAGCATCTGACTTCGGCTCAGGTCATGATCTCGCGGTTTGTGAGTTTGAGCCCCGCGTCGGGCTCTGTGCTGACGGCTCGGATCCTGAGGCCTGCTTCAGATTCTGTGTCTCTCTCTCTCTCTCTGCCCCTCCCAGGCTCATGCTCTGTCTCTGTCTCTCAATAATAAATAAACGTTAAAAAATTTTTTTTAATTACCATTAGAGTTTCTAACAAGCTTTTCGTGTGACCCCTCATTAGTATTCTCCACGTATAGATTTTTTGTATAAAATTGGCATCTGTCTACAACATGCATCTTGAGTTATTAATTCTTATCAGCATTTTCTCACGCAAAAAAAAATTCTTCCATGAAATAAATTGTATTGCTTCATCAGCTGAATTTTCCGTAGTTTACTTAACCTCGCCCCACTCCCGGCCATTTCTGACTTTTCACTTGGTGGGGGATTCACTGGGGTGAATAAGTCTGCCATAGACCATTTCTGTCCAAGGTCAGGGCACACTGGGCAAATGCTCTCTGGAGAAAGGGAGTGTGGGGGTCAGGGCAGGTCAGGGGAAAGGGCCAAGCAAGGATACGGTGCTGGAGCTTGGCTTCCGCCGATCCCCCCGGCGGATCCCGGAAGGCAGATTGCACAACACGGTGGGTCGGCCCCACTTGGCCCAAGGAGCTGGACTTCGTCCATCACGGCCTCTGCGCCCTCGGCTGGGGCAGGTGAGGCGTGCCCCGCATCTGGAACAGTGTTGGCCCAGGGCGGCGCTCTGGAGACCTGGGGTGGGGGGTGGGGTGGAGGGGTGGGGGGGGAGGGACAGCCGTGAGTCACAGCATCCACACCCAGAGCTGCTGGGAAGAGTTGGACCAGCCAAGTCGAGAAATCCGGGTGGGGCACCGACTTTGTCCGCCTGGGCTGATTTTGTCGCGGCTCTTGTTTCTTCTGTCGTTAAGGGATGGGGGAGTTTTATCGAAGGGCACAAACAGCATGAAGGTTTTTGCTACAAATTTTAACTTTCCCCCGGAGACGCCTTCCCAGTGGGCAGTCCCGCCCATCACGTGTGCCGGTGCTAAATTCCACTGAAATGCCGAAAATGGGCTTTTCTCCCTTTGACTCTCAGCTCTGCTGTCTCAAGGATGGAGGCTGCCTTTATAGGTGACCAAATGCAGCCCTCTCTTCCTTGATGATTTCCTTCTTCACCTTCGGGATTGGACGGGCTTCTGTCCTGATCCATTCGGAGATCACACGCTCTGTCTTAATTCTTTCGTGGTTTCCCTATTTTATGTTTAATAGCTAATGGGACTTTAAGTGGAGGATCTAACAGAACTCTGTAAGAATCCAGTGTATCTGCAGTGCTGTGCTACAGATTCAAGGGCGGTAGTGTTCCTCGTGTCCTTGAACCCTTTGGTTACGCAAGCTCATGTGCATCGTCAAAAACATTTTTTTTCGACGCGTCTTCTGGGTGGTTTTCTTCCATATACGTTTCACGATCATCTTGTTGAGTACAGAAAATTAAAAAACTGCGTTGAGGTTTTTACCGCAATTGCTGGAAACCTGTAAAGTGACGTTAAGAAGGTCCACATCTTCCAAACATGAAGTCACCTGTGCCTCTCACAAGACTCTTGAGATATGTGGTGGCCCAATTTTACCGCTTCCTTCATTTCAGACCCACTGTTGAGTTTGTTCCTGGCATTGTGTGCTCTGTGTTATGGGTGTGTGTTGTGTGAACGAGTTTAGAATATGTTTTCTAAATGGTGCCACTCACCCCTAAGAAAATGCAGATTTCTGAGTTTTGGTTTGGCAAACGCTCACATCAACCTTGTGCAGTTTTCCACCTGCTCCTTCTGGGTCTGTGTCGGGTCCGAGTCACGAACGACCCGTGAGCCGCAGCGAATGTGGGACAGCTGTCGTCCGGGGAAGCGGCGGACAGATGCCTTCCGTCTCCACCGTCCCGCGTCCAGCCCGGCGCCTCACCACGCGCAGGGCGAGGACCAGGACACGGAGCCCCTTCTTGGGCCACGCTGTCGTCTGGCCACTGGCAGGGCCTCCCCGCTGCCCCCCCCCCCCCCCCCGAGCGCCCACACTTACTCTCGATTTTCTTTATCCTCATTTCCCAGGGGATGAAGGTGACCATGAAGTTACAGGCCCCGCGAGCAAATTTCCGCCAGAGCTGGAAAGGAGGGAGCAGGGTTAGCGGGCCTCGCATTTGTCAGGATGGCAGTGACATCGTGACGCTAAGGTCCCTGGTGGAGGAGAGGTTCCCAGACACGCCTGTGATTATGACGTCATAGGACTTGAGGCCACACTAGGACCAGAGCAGCCCCTGTCCGCTCTTGGTAGGGTGACGACACCTGCTTGGGACCTGAGCTGCGGCGTCTGTATCGACGTGCGTATGGTCCAGGGTCACAGGCTGCCTTATTCCTACCGTTCCCGCCCTGGGGACTAGTGGAAATCCCTTGAGGAGTGATGTCCACTCTGAGGTTGGGGCCCAGGAGTCCGCATGGCCAGCAAACTGCCCCGATGACCACAATCCCCCGCTTGGGGGATGAGAGTCTAGAACATACGGCGGGCAGGGCTCGTGCTCTGCCCGCCGTGTGCCACCTGTCCCGCACCTGTGCCGGTCTCCTGCCCTCTCTCCTGGCAGAGGCCACCAGCGGGGAGATCTGCAAATTCGTCTTGTGTGTTTAAGAGGCAACTGCCAAGAGTTCAAGCTCTCTCTCTCTTTTTTTTCTCCTCTCTCTCTTTCCTCTGAGGAGAACAAAGCACAGCGCGCCGGGACTCCGGCCGCTCCCTCACAATGTTGGCAGGCTGTCCATTTTAACACACAAACAATTCGGGCTTGTGTTGGAAGCAAATGACATCACCGCGGAAAGAAGGGCTCCAAATGCAATTATAGGATTCTGAAGTCTGAGACAGCGCGCGGTCCTGATGCTTGAACGCACGATCGTGCCGTTCGGGTTGTGCCTGCCAAGGCCAGACACGCGAAACGCAAATCTGTTCGAGTTTCACCAGACGTTGTAATTGTTGGTCTTCTGTTCGTGACCCAAGACGCAGCTCAGACCTAACCACGCCCGTGATGCGTCCGCACAGGGTCTCTGGAGAGAGGCAGACCCTGCTCCCTGCAAACTTCCCGGCCATCGACATTCTCGTCATGCTCAGCTCATCCTACCTCGTGCTGCCCTTCTGGTTTTTTTTTTTCCCATGGCTTATGTCCTTTGGCACGGAGGCGAAGACCAAAGCTTTCGCTCTGTTGTCCCTGCAGCAGGCAGAGGCAGGGTGCTCACACATCCTCGGGGGAGGGTTTGGTGTTGGAAAGCATCTGAGTCTCTGGCCCGCGGTGAAGTCCTGCGGTGTAAGCAGCCCTGGAGGAGGGCCCCAGACCTGATGCCGGCTCCAGTTCAACCGCTACCCTACCGCGCGCTCCTGGGAAAGGCGTTTTCTTTCAAGGTCCTCATCGGTCCAAGAAGTGGGCTTTGATCAGTGGTATTCAGAGTTACTCTTCCAATGAGAATTTCAGTGCATGACAGACTAACGCAGAGCAATTTTTCTAAGTGGGAGATGCAAAACCTCCCCCCCCCCCCGCCTCTGGAGCTCATGTGACAAGTCAGGGGCCCCGAACTCAGCTTCAAGGCCGCCAGACCCTCAATGCTCATTCTGGGGACGACGGTCTGCCCTAGCCTCCTAAAGGAGCTTCCTTGAAACATGTGATTTGTTATGACCAAGATTCCATAAGGCATGGGAAAAAACACCTGATTCTCTGATGATTTGCATCAAATCTCCATGGAAAGCCTGAAACTCCGAAATGATTTGAGATTTTAAGAGCAGAGGAAAAACAAAACAAAGCAAAACCAGGAGCCAGACTTGGAAGAAATGGGTCTTAATTGTGGGCCTGGGTTACTGAGTCTGGTAAGACTCCGTACCAAATAAGCTCATTCTTTCCTCTTTGGGAAGTCTTGTAAGTTCACCTGGAATAAGTGCGTTCTAACCACACGAATGCTAGTTTATGAAAAACGCATTCATCCAGAGCACGTCCTGAGCACTGTGTGTGTTTCTAGTACAGCGGATGCAAGTCGACAAGACACGTAAGACGTCAGCTGGCACCGAGCTTGCATCCAGGTAGACGGAAGGCAACGAAAGAGTCAACGCCACCGTGGGACGTGGTCCATTAGGACTGGAGGAGAGAGCTCTTTTAAACAAGGGGGTCAGGAAAGGTCTGTCTGCAGAGGTCATACTTGAGCTGAGACTTGAATGAAAAGAAATCAATACTTCAGAAAATAAGAAATCGGTAGAGGAGCTCTCTAGGAGGGCAGGACAGCACGCAATCCGCGAGTTAGCACGTGCTGGACATTTTACAGCAGAGGATGGAAGTGGGGAGGTGGGGTAGATCCAACAGGTAGGCAATGGCGAGATCAGCTGGGTCATGGGAAGGAGTGAGATTTAACTCTAAGTGTAATGAGTTCCTATCTGTCTCTCTGTCTGTCTATCTATCTATCTATCATCTCTCCATCATCTGTCCATCCATCCACCCATCTATTTATCTATATCTATCTATCTATCTATCTATCTATCTATGTTTTAAGTAAGGAAACAGTTTAAACAGTTTAAGTAAACAGTTTACTGTTTCAAGGATTGCCCGGGCTCCTGCACGGAGGAGAGTGGGTTATAGGGGGACGTGTGCGAAAGCAGTAGGGCCTTCCAGGAGGCCAATCAGCCTATATACCATCATAGGCAGGTGCCAAATCATGCCATGCAGGCTCTAGGGAAGGGTGACCTCCCTGGTGGGTATTGCGTGAAAAACAAAGGACGTACAATATTAGAACCAGAAGGAATCTTGAGAATCACACGTGAAAACCAAAGTCAGAGCAGGGAAAACCAAAGTCAGAGCAGGAGGGTGTCCTCCCTCCTGCCGCAGTGACTTCTCGGGTCCCGGAGGCCCCACCCACTCAGACCTTGCTTCCGTAAGAAACAGGGACACCTGCTGGCACTGAAGGAGGACTGCCTGTAAGCAGGCTCAGGTGGAGACCCAGGGGGGCGAGGACACAGGCCGGACACCGGGGAGGGCCCCCCAGGACGCCTTGTGCTCTGCAGCCGGGACTCCCAGGACAGGACAGGGTGGAGCCCCTGGGAGTGGTGACCGGATCTCAGTGCCGGGAGTCACGGGAGAATGGGTAGCCCGTGACACAAAACGTACTGTTTGGAAAACAGTCGCATCTTCGTCGGACAAACCAAGGACTACAAACAGATGGGCTGCGGGCTGGATGGCTTCTGTTTTCTCTCCGCGGCAGCTGGAGTGGGTGCTGGTCCTCCGTGGTTCATGTCAAAATTTCCAGTGTAAAAAATTATAGGGGCTTCTGCGCGGCTCCGTCGGTTAAGCGGCCGACTCTTGATTTCGGCTCAGGTCATGATCTCACGGTTGTGAGTTCGAGGCCCACCTTGAGCTCTGTGCTGACAGTGCAGAGGCTACTTTGGGATTCTTTCTCCCTCTCTGCCCCTCCCCCACTCCCACTCTCTCTCTCTCTCAAAATAAAAAAAAGAAATGCACGCAAAAAGGTGGAGGAATGTTGTTCCGAACAGGGAGGGGAGGAACCAAAGCGTGAAGAAGACACGCGAAAGGGGGACCTGTCTTTGACACTTTACTGCACCCCCCAGAAGGCGGAAGTGACCCAGTCGGGACATGACCCCAGGGCCTGGGACAAAGCGTGGCACGTGGATTAAACTGAACTGGATCGAACCCCTTTCTGCAGGGCCGTTGCTCCTACGAAGGTGCCACCGAGCGCCTTTGGGCAGCCCGTCTCTAGGTGAGGCTGTGAATTCTGGTTCTCCTCATTCTGGAAACCCTGCGTCTAGTGAGTCAGCCCCTGGTCGAATTGCACCTTTAACCCTTACTGATGTCACGGTGACTAAAAGCTGCCGTGCTTTTCACTCATATATATTACAGGTTGTCTGAATAGGACCTTCTAGTATTTTCCGAGAGACTTCCCACTGCATCGCAGGCCATCTGTTTAGGGAAAATGAGGAAGCCGGGCGGCACAAATGCTCAGCCTTAAAAAGATAATTTTGTTAAATGTACTTATTGCATGAGCCCCATCATCGCCTGACAGGCATAAGCACTCAGGGGTAATTTTTGTCCTGGGACTAGATTAGAGTTTTCAGGCACAGTCTGTGCAAAGGAAGAAGAAAGCCGAGGCAGAGCCTTGAGGACCCTTTGCGACTTTATCTAATGTTTCAGTTAAGTAAAATTCAGGACCAGCTTTAAGGAAAAAAATTTTTTTTACATTTATTTATTTTTGAGACAGAGAGAGACAGAGCACAAGCGGGGGAGGGGCAGAGAGGGAGGGAGACACAGAATCCGAAGCGGGTTCCAGGCTCCGAGCTGTCGGCACAGAGCCCGACGCGGGGCTCGAACCCACCAACTGTGAGGTCGTGACCCGAGCCGAAGTTGGACGCCCAACTGACGGAGCTACCCAGGTGCTCCGTGACCAGCTTTTATTGAAACTTCATTAAGGATTTTGTTGGTTTGTTTCAGAGAATCTGAAAAGAGTGCATTTGTCAGCTCTTATCTGTTAAAATATAACCAACTTAAAAAAATACAATATCCAATATTGGCAAAAATATGAAGGCAGTAAAACTTGTCATGCATGGCAAGGTGAACTATCAAGGGTTTTGGAAAATAATTTATTAATATTTATCAAGAGCCAGAGCACCTGGATGGCTCAGTGGGTTAAGTGTCCAACTCTTGATTTCAGCTCAGGTCATGATCACACGGTTTGTGAGTTCAAGCCCTGCACGGGGCTCTGTGCTGACAGTGCGGGGCCTGCTTGGGACTCTCTCCCTCTCTCTCTCTGCCCCTTCCCTGCTCACACGCTTTTTCTCTCTCTCAAAGTAAATAAATAAACTTTAGGAAAAAAAAATACCTATCAAGAGCCAAAAAACAAATTTTACTTTTCTACAATGATTATAGTTCTGGCATTTATCCCAGGAAAGGGATTTTAAAGGGTAGAAAAAGCACTGTGTGCAAAGATAGTCTTTGCAGGGTTATTAATAATAATGAAAAATTAAAGGCAATTTAAATATACACCAGCAGACAAATAACAAATTAAGTTAATTTACCAGCAGACAAATAACCAATTGAGCTAATGTACTTGTCTGTCACGGGAGACAACATGTGTAAAACGTTCAGAGCAACGCGGAAAAATCCTTGTGTTATGGGCTTAAGTGAAAAAACGTTTGTACACTGTGATTACTCTGTGTGAAAATTATAGACTCAGTGACTGCAATGTGAGCTCCAGAAAAAGATACTATATACGAGGATGATTTTTTTCTTTGGCTTCTGAACATTTATGGGAATGATCGCAATGTCTCTCTAAACAGATCATTGCAATTAGATACTGAAGTTTAGCTTTAAGGGGCTGAATGGGAAAAATAACAAACAAAAAACATAGCACTGAGTTCTCAAATAAGCGCTGGGATAGGTCTATAACGTTCCCATTACAAGACACGCTGTAAATAAAACTTACACGTACGGGAGGGAGTAAGTCAGGAAAAATGCTAGGCAAAATGCTAGATCATTCTCTCGAGGGAAGATAGCCTTTCTGGGATGAGTCAGGTTTACCCAGGGTCATGTACAAATGGTGAGTGATGGCCCCAGGGACTAAAGTCCAAGTTCTGGGACATGCAGACCCTCCAGGGACCAGCATCGCTCTACGGCTGTAACGACCGATGCGCACAGCCGATGTATAATGGCAAGCACAATGTCACGCACCTTCCTGGCCCCGAGGCCACAGGGAGGGGTGGGATCGCCATGCGTACACGCTCTCACCTCTGCACCTGCCGCTTGGTATCCTCGGGTCCTGGTCAGCCTCCCTTCGAACTTCAGCACAATCTCCTTCGCTCGCCTGAGACAAGAGAGCGATGACAGTGAGCACAATTTTGGCACCGCTGGAATCGTGGCGAAACGTGTGAAAGTGTGACAGGAGCAGGTGGCCAAACGTGAGGGACAAGATACTGTGGCAGGGAGCCGGCTATGAAAGTACGCAAACCGTTCATTTCCTGGCTTCCAGCGACCAGAGGGCTCCCTTACCAAATATATTCCGGGAAAACAAAACAAAACAAAACAAAACAAAACAATTTAAAAGGACACATTTACAGAAAATGATGAGTTAATGCCCAAATGAGTTGCAACTGAATTTCTTTTTTTTTAACATTTTTTAAAAAAATTCACCTATTTTGAGAGAGCGAGCGCGTGAGCAGGGGAGGGGCAGAGAGAGAGGCAGAGAGAGAATCCCAAGCAGGCTCCAGGCTGTCGGTTCAGAGCCTGGCATGGGGCTCGAACTCAGGAACCGCAAGATCACGACCTGAGCCGAGATCAAGAGTTGGACGCTTAATGGGCGGTACCCCCCTGGGCGCCCTACAACTGAATTTCTTAAAGCCCTCCCCTGATTCCGGTTGTTGTCCGGGAACCGTGAGTGTTGGAAGTCCCGGCAGCGGGTGCTAGCACCTCGGCCCCTCACTTAACCTCGGCGGCCGCTCCCTGCAGCCCTCGCGTCTGGAATTGAAGGTCAGACCTAGTTTCGGAGAGCCCGCTTCAGGGAGGGGGTCGTGGGTGTCTGGTCACCGCTGCGTCTTCCCTCCCGCAAACAAACTACTGACACACGCTGACCGGTGTGGTGGGTTGACCCGATGTCTCCACCTACATGATTCATCCCTGCAGTGGACCGAAGTCCCCGGGATGGACGGTCAAACCCACACCTAAATGAACAGCGGGGTTAGACAATCCCCGTTGGCGCTAATGGGGCGGACGGGAGTTGAGGACTCTTGGGGATGAAGGTCACCTTCGAGGCCACCTCGTCTGACGCTGGGCTGATGACACCCTCGTTATCCATGACCAGCCCCCTCCCCTTGACTGTGCTCGGTGCCTCTTCAGAGCCCCTCGACCTTCAGTCTGCCCGGCTCGCTGGTGAGGAAGGTCTCGCACACGCCTCTCAACAGCCGTTTAGCGGCCCCCTCCCCGGTCCTGAGTCCCTCCCTGAGACCCCAGGAACTAGCTGACTCCCTTTTCCGAGCGAAACGTGACCGAACTGGAGCGTTTGCTGGGATCTGGAGCCCGGTGCCCTCGTTGGGATCACCCCATCAGCCCGGCCCCGCCAGCCAATGCCCTGGCTTCATTCCTGTCAGGACCAGAAATGCAAGCAAGGGTGAGGGTTGACGCCCTGCCCTGCAGAGCACTTAAAAGATAGAGGCCTGTACAAGTGACATCATTTATCTCATCTAATCATTTATCATTTTCTTCCTGCAGACATTTCCTGCACACTTCGTTGGGGCAAGCAGACTGGGGCACACAGGCGCGTGAAACGGAGTTGTTGTCCCGGAAGGCCCCCCCTCTCTAATAGCGTGAAAGAGACCGAAAGCCACAGTAACGGAGGGCGACAGGGTGGGCCGGGCACTCAGGAACCAGGGGGGACCGAGCTAGCCTGGCCCCGTTAGGGCGCCGGCCGCTGGCTCCCCTGCGAGGTGAAAAGACCCATCCTCCCCGACAGGTGGCTGTTGCCCCAGACCCAGCCGGGACCCCTGCCCTTTTCTGCGTCCGCCTCGCTCCCTGGGTCCCCACGCGGTCAGGCTTTGGTGGCCTCTGTGCTTTCCAGACGCCTCAGCGGGTCCAATTAGGGAGGCATGCATCGCTCTGGTAGCTCCTGAAGGTGACGAGGGAGGAGACGCGCGGGTCCAGGGGATGATCTATGGAGGTGCTCAGAGGACCAGCCCGTCTGAGAGCCGGACCGCCTCCGCCCAAGGCAGCGCCGTGTGGCCCGGCCGCTGGCCAGGCGTCAGGGCGGAGGGCCCGGATTTTGCCCTTGGGCTCGGGAAGTGTATCGGCTGAAAAGTTATCATTTGCTGCGCTCTGCCTGCAGGTTAAAATGGCTTAGGCTCTTACTGGTAATTAATGGTTATGAATTACTGATTAGTAATTACTACTTCCTCCCACTAACCACGAGCCAGCAATCCTTAACAGCGTTTCTGTACGACTTTTAAAAATCCGGATACGACTGCCTCTCTCTCTCTCTGCCTCTCCCCACGCGCACGCTCTCAAAATAAATAAAGAAACTTAAAAAAAAGAGGGGGTGGGGAAGGGGCGCCTGGGTGAGTCAGTCCATTAAGTGTCTGATTCTTGATTTCAGGTCAGGTTGTGATCTCACAGTTCCCGAATTGGAGCCCGGCCTCAGGCTCTGCACTGACGGTATGGAGCCTGCTTGGGATTCTTTCTCTCTGCCCCCCACCCCCCACCACCTCTCTCTCTCTCTCTCTCTCTCTCTCTCTCCCCAAATAAATAAATAAATAACTTTAAAAATTGTGATACAACACATGACTCTTTCTTTCTTTCTTTCTTTCTCTTTCTTTCTTTCTTTCTTTCTTCCTTCCTTCCTTCCTTAGAACTGAGAAGGTTCTAATCCTGTGCACACAGGGTGCCTGCTGGTCAGGGCTACTGTCTGTTTCTCCTGGAAGGTCCACTTGACAGGTCAGGGGAGCTCATTAAGGCCATTCGATTAACCCCCTCTGCTGTGCACCGGGGCATCGGCATCATCAATCAGTCCTCACTGGTGGGGCCTGACCGCCGGGCACCAGAGACAATGCGAGTTGCTTGCCCGGTTCACCTCGTTTAACCCCGGAACAGGGGTCAGTGGATCTTAACCTTCAGTATGTGACGGAATCTGCTAGAATGCCTGTTAAAAATCCTGGGCCCCTCCCATTGTGGTAGGGTCCCCTCCCTAAGGGAAAAAAAAAAAAATCTCTAGGTAACCTGGCCCTGTGCCTGCATCATAACCTCCCTCATGACCTTGTAACATGAGACCACTTAATCAGGCTGCGTGTGTGTGTGTGTGTGTGATCATATACGGGAGACAAAGAAGTAGAAAATATATAAAAAACGAGTCCACGTGGCCACGCCGGTGAAAGTAATGTCTATTTTCAGTCTGGCTCATACACTTGTCTCTGCTGAGTCTGGCCATTTTGTTCACGTCTCCACACGATGCTAAGATCTAGCGTTTGCAAGGGAGGTAGAAAACCACACATTCTCCACCAGCACATGCACACGCACACACACACACACACACACACACAGAAACTGGCCACCTGGAGGCACCCGTGGCTTCTCAGAGTCACGTCTGGAACGCCTGGTCACCACCGTCAAGTGGGTCTCAGTGCTCATCCCCTTGGGCGGGACCGGGCGGCCTCGTGGAAAACACACCGACGATAATCACTAACGAGAAGGGAAGCCCCTACCTCAGTGCTCCCAGCTTCTGCCTCATGGTCCAGGGTCTGCAGCGAATGTTTGCCATGAGATCTTTCTGGAACTGAATATTCTGGAAGATTTGTTCTGGATCATTGCTGTCCCCTGTTTCATCAGCATTAAAGCTGTCGTCCAACTTGCTGAATGGATCAGGACATTAAGGAGGAAATCTGATTAGTAGAATTGCTTCCAGCAAGGACCTTGCCCAGGGTACATTCCACATCTCGCCGCCCCGGGGTCATCTGTATGAAGTTTCTACGCGTGGAGGGATGAGGGACCCAGGGAGGCAGAGAGAGAAGGTGGCGGTCCTGGCAGCCACCGAAATACGTGCAGTGGAGCCTGTGGCTTTAGTGGCTCGGGAAAGGAAGACGGTTTCGCAGCGTGAAATCTGTTATCAGAAGACGTCACACCAAGAGACAAGAGGGTGCTTATGAACAATTCCTGAAGAGCACCATCGTTGTGGGCAAAACAATTTCTATTTCAGGCTGATTGAAATAGTCAGCTAATTTTAAAGACGGGGCTCCTCCTTGTCCCCCAACTCTGGAGGTGAAATAAAGAGAAACCCAACATTGTCATCCGGAGACCCTCCCCGCGTTCCTGCCTCTTTAAAAACGGAGAGGCAGGACAGTCAGCGATTTCTTTAAGCAGGGGTTTAGCCACGCGGATTTAGGTGGGCAAATCTTTCAGGGGAACGGTGACTCCGGAGGAGAACGATTTGTCAACGTGTAGCAACGCTTATTCCCCCTAACAATTAAATCCGAGGTGACTTCTCAGGAGGAGGGAAGAGTCTTCTGCGACAGCTATTTGATCAATGATGCGCTTAGAAGTAAAGAGAAAATCATTCCTTTGCTTTCCTCTAATTCCGACGGTTTTCATTTACCCCAGGAGGATTTCCTTCAATTTCTCCAAACTGATGGAGGTTTTCATATACCTTTATAAATATTTAACAGATTCCAACGGCACTCCCTCACTTCTCCCTGGCCTGAAGCCTGTGCCAACAGGCACCTTATTTATTATGATGGATGTATCGCCCACTCCCTCTTGACATCGCATAACTGCGTAAACAGACAGAAAACAGAGGGCGCACGCCCGTGGGTTCGGCCGGGTTGGGGGACGCCAGATTCGGGTCCCCCGGTCAGCCGGCAGGTACAGTCGCCTCCCTCTGGGCACGGAGTCGAGATGGCTAACCCGGGTGTGGAGAGCCCAGAGAAAGGAGTTTGGGAGTCCACCCTCAAGGAGAGGGGGACGGAGCGGGGTCTTGGCCCTCAGGTCGGACGCAGGCAAGGCTCGGGGTGACCCAGGCTTCCCTTCCTCAGCACACCTGCGTCCTCCTCCCTGCGGGTGGGGGACACCAACTCACCCGAGCAGCAGGGACTCCTGGTACAGGCAGCGCTGGCCGGTGTTTCTCCGGATGCTTCTGTAGCGCTGGGACGCCCTGGCGGGCTTCATGGGGGCTGAGCCGTTGCCAGTGACCCCTCGGGGCCGGCAGGGTCCCAGGGAAGCAGTGGGGGGGGGAGGTCTGGGCCACGGAGGTCTCCCGAGGGGAGCCCCTCCTTGCCCTGCCTCCTGATCTCCGGAGCAGGACTGCGACCGTGCAGCTGGCACCCGGCGAGGAGGCCAGCTGTGCGTGTGTGATGCGAAGGCGCCTGCCGCAGCGCTATTGGCCGGAGTCTGGGCCGGCAGAGGCGGGTGGCCCGGCCGGGCTGAGCCAGGGCTCATTAGGTGCCCCCCCCCCCAGTGATCACATCTGCGACCCCTCGCGCCCAGACGGCCGCAGTGGTTTGCACAGTGCTTCGTCTCCATCCCCATGACTGGTGTCCACAAAATAATTAGGCAGAAGGCAAGGCATGGCTTAGGGCTTTCCGTGTTTACGTCTCGAGAAAGAGGCTCGGAGGGGCGCCCGGGCGTCTCAGTCGGTCCAGCACCGACTTGGGCTCAGGTCATGATCTCGCGGTCTGTGGGTTCAAGCCCCACATCGGGCTCTGTGCGGACGGCCGGGAGCCTGGAGCCTGCTTCGGATTCCGTGTCTCCCTCTCTCTCTGCCCCTCCCCTGCACGTGCTCTGTTTCTCTCTCGAACGTAAATACACATTTAAAAAATTTTTTTAACGTTTAGAAATCAACATTTTTGAAAAATTAGTCTAAAAATTGTGACGAATGATTCACATCAAAAGTAGTAATTCCTCCTATCTAATTATCATAATATATGATTGGATACTAGAAATAGGTAATATGTTCAGATTAATCCATTTTATTCTGCCATGCAGTTAAGCAAAATGATCTCAATAAATCTGGAAAGCAAATCACTGGTTTGCACTAATTTGTTTTAATAAATCCCCATGGGGGGCGCCTGGGTGGCGCAGTCGGTTAAGCGTCCGACTTCAGCCAGGTCACAATCTCGCCGTCTGTGAGTTCGAGCCCCGCGTCGGGCTCTGGGCTGATGGCTCAGAGCCTGGAGCCTGTTTCCGATTCTGTGTCTCCCTCTCTCTGACCCTCCCCCGTTCATGCTCTGTCTCTCTCTGTCCCAAAAATAAATAAACGTTGAAAAAAAAATTTTTAATAAATCCCCATGGTACTTCAAGATTTGCTATTACCTCTGTCTCTACTCCAAAAAACCACACACACACACACACACACATATAAATATAGAAATAAATACATAAATACACACACACACACACACACATATATATATATGCAAAGAGGAGACAAAACGATCAAAATGTTAGTTGCACAGACAGCTTCAGAAAAAGCAGGATAGAAAAAATCTTTGAAATGCTCAGAAATAATCCCTATAGGTAAAGACCTCTCAAAAAATGCCAAAAAAAAAAAAAAAAAAAAGCCAGGGGACTAACAATAATCTTACTTTTTTTTAAGATTCTTTTTTTTTTTAAATGTTTATTTATTTTTGAGAGAGACAGAGAGACAAAGGCAGAGAGATAGAGGGAGACACAGAATCGGAAGCAGGCTCCAGGCTCTGAGCCGTCAGCACGGAGCTCGATGCGGGGCTGGAACCCACGACCGTGAGATCGTGACCTGAGCCGAAGTCGGACGCTTAACCGACTGAGCCACCCAGGCGCCCCTCCAATTCTTACCTCCTTATTATGAAACTCTAGGGAGCCTCTTAACCTCTCTCCAGCCCAGCATTATCGTGCTGATTGATGTGGCCACACTTAAGAAGCGTAAAATGTAAGAAAATCTTAATCTGATGATTATTAACATCACGCTGAAATATTTCTGTGCAACGTGTCATTATTTCTCAAACACAGTTGTAAACGGTGTTGGGGGAAAAGTAAATAGATAGAAAGCAAATGTTAGCGACTAGTGAATCCAGGTTGGGGGTCAGCGATATCCGTGGTGCTGTTCTCTCAACATTTCTGTAGATCTGACTTTTCTCAAAGTGCAGAAAAAACAAAAAAACAAATAAGATGTTACAGCTGCCTCTCCCAGACTCCTTTGCGTGAACATAGACAAGCTTCTTACTCTAAGCCTCTTTTTTTATGTTTCTTTATTTTTGAGAGACAGAGACAGAGCATGGGGGGGGCAGGCAGAGAGAGAGAGGGACGCACAGAATCGGCAATGCCAGCCCCCCCTTCTTGAGGTCAGCAAGTTTTCTTTCACCTTTGCATTTTGCAAGAGCGACTTTTCCGTTTTTGAGACGTGTTTGCACGCCCGGGAGATTGTTCTAGGGAGTCTAAGGCCTTTTGTCTGAAGTCTAGAAATGCCTTTGGGGTCTGGGAAACGTCATTCGGGGTGGACGCCCTGGAAAAGATGTTTTCCAATTTTCCGAGTCACGGCTGAATTCGTTGAGACGTGAGGGTGCGTGTTCTTGGTGGTGGTGAATTCCTCATGGCATCATCAGCTGCCTGTAAGTTTGAGACTGAGCAGACACCCTGAGATTTCCATCGGGGGTCACGTGACGGTTGCTCCTGCGGGAAGCTAAGGGGGGGACTGTCACCGGCCCACGGAAGCCCTTCCGAGGGGGAGCTGATCACCGGGTGGGATGCCCTTGAGACACAAATTATAGAGCCGCCCTGGGCTGCTCGGTTCGTGTGCTTTCTTTTGCACAGGACCGCATCGAAACGCATCCACCGCCCTCGGGCCTGGAAAAGGAAATCGAACTTTCTCCAAGGCTGGGAAAGATTCCTTGTCAAGCGGCCACTTAATCGTTGGCTGCGGTTTCTCCTCTAATGATTTTTAGATTGTATTTACCCGGATATTCGGGGACTTGGAGAGAGTCCAGCAGAGCTGTCTCTGGGGGTGGGACAGCCTCCTGCGAGCGGTTCCCCCACACCCCTGCAGAGGCACTGTGCATCAGTCAACGGACGCAAGCCCCAGGAGCATCTGGGGCTGGGCTGAGCGAGAGAGAGTGAACGGGGGCGGGGGGTGGACAGAGAAAGGGAGACAAAGAATCCGAAGCAGGCTCCAGGCTCCGAGCCATCAGCACAGAGCCCGACGCGGGGCTCGAACCCACGAACTGTGAGATCATGACCTGAGGTGAAGTCGGACGCTCAACCGACTGAGCCACTCAGGTGTCCCACGTGAATTCTATTCTTATCTTAAATACCATCACACGAATGTTGTGAAGTTCTTTCTTACAACTCTGGGATTTTACACTTTTCTACAGAAGCTAAAAAAAAAAAAATGGTTTACGTATTACATCTTTCTCTAAGAAAGACACGGCTTACTCTAACTTGTGTGACCAGTAAACGCTGGGTCTATCATTTGTTGTTTCCGCTAAGAATCGAATTCATCAACCACGATAATATGCGACCGCCTTGGAGTTGGATAGTCTAGTGATGAAACACAGCTGTGCTGTCTGCTGGCTGGGCGACCTTGGAGCAGTCACAGACCGTCCCCGAGCCTTTAGGTCGCCGCCTACAGGGTAGAAGTAACCGCGAAGGGTTGTATGTGCCGTTGTGCGCGATGGGCCTAGCACAGTGCCTGGAGTGTAGTAGGAGCTCAAAACTGGCAAGTCTGTTTTATCGTTATGTCTATAATTGTATTGTGATTTAATGTTTATTTATTTATTTATTTATTTTATTTGTGGGGGCGGGGGAGACACAGAATCCGAAGCAGGCTCCAGCTTCTGAGCTGTGAGCACAGAGCCTGACGCGGGGCTGGAACTCTCTATCCGTGAGATCATGGCCTGGGCTGAGGTCGGACCCTTAATCGACTGAGCAACCCCCCCACCTCCCCCCGCCAGGGGCTCCAAATCATCTTGTGACTTAAATCTCACTGCGAAAGTGTGGCTGGAATGGTGCGAGCTTAGCGATTCTATACGAACACGTGTGATGACCCTTATCACCGCGATCATTAACCTTATCGTAACTTCAGCATCAAGGTGTGATTAGGGTGGTTTCGGAACTGTTTATTTCATGATAACTGACCTGGCTCATGTAAAGAATTTGCAAAGGAGGTATATACTGCAAGGCTGTTTTTTTTTTTTTTTTTTTTGGCAAGGCTACTTCTTAACTGCACGACAGACACGCTCTGTGTGCTCTCTAACATTGCCGCAAATACAAATAAAACTTCAACATTGCCTTCCTTCTTCCCAAGGAGCCACAGCAAGCTTGAGCGGTGGCCGATCGCCCGTATGGCATCTAACTGCGTGCATTCACCGCAGTCTGCTGTGCGTGGGAGAAGAAGCCTGCCAAGGCCCAGAGATACAGGGATTCCTTCCCAGAGCTCACGGGGAAGCAGGCCGATCGTTGAACCGGGAGGTGCCGTGGAATTGACCGTGAGGGCCCAGCCCAACTGCAGGAGAGAAGAAGTTCGTTACACGGTACTTTTCCCCGGGTTAAGAAAGGAAGGCAAACCGTCGCTGATTACGACAGCGTCTTATTACGTTTCTACGCTGCTAATTTGGAAACTGTGATAATGCGGACTACGTGACAGAGGAGACGAGGTGCCATTAGGTGCCGCCCCTTGGAGATTTTTCCCGTTGGGTGTGCTCTCACGGGATACGAGGCCTCTCACGGATGTGAGCTTGTATCTCGCCTCGGTGCCCCCTGTGCCATCCGCTTGAATGCGGTCCCGATTCCCTTCCGGAGCAAGGCGCAGGGAGTAGGAATAACGCCCAGCGCCAGGAAACCACTTGGGCGGTGGCAAAACAGAGAGAAAAGCTTCACGAGGACGTGGGCAGGGAAACGGCAGGGACTGATTGCCAAAGGGTGTCTGTCCGTGCGGCACGCACCGGGCCCGGGAAGGCTAACAGACCCCGGAATGGAGAGCCGAGCGCGTGTGACCGAGAACAGCACCGTGGGAGGATTTGACCACGACACCCTGCGCTCCAAAGAATGACGTGACTGGGCGGCCGTGGTTGAAGACGGACCCTGCAAACGTCGCCTGCCTGGTGGCTCCACTCGGCCCTTCAGAGAGGGCCGGTCGTTCCTTGTTGGTTTCACCATACGATGAAACACAATCCTGTAAACAAATTAATTTCCCCCAGGACTTTTGAGAGCATCCTAACTGCATTATCGTTTTTCTGCATAAAGGAAGCTAAGCACAAGAACAATTAGGGAATGGGCTTCAAATGACCTTCAAATGACCTCCAAATGGCCGTGAGGTGGAGAAGGCCATCGGCAGAGATGTGGGGATGACACGAGCCACATTTTGCTGGCTGAAATCTGGGATCATTCATCCTGAGAGCTGTGCTGGCC